ATTGGTGGTAGCGTTAGTGGTTTGTGTTATACCTTAGTTACTGGACTGCTCTTATCTCAACCCATGGGAGTTACATTCTTTTGATTCTCCTCCCCATCCCTTCTGGAGTGGGGTTGGGGGAGAAGGGGGGGGAGTAAGACAGAGTCTGCATGGTCTGATTTACATCTGGGTTTACACCACAATAAATATTTAGAGGGGTAAGTGAAGCTGTAGATTTGACATAGGTTCAATTCCTCAGCAGTGAGTGACATCAGTGACTTGGGGATAGCAGCAACAGTGGCAGGGCCTTTGGGATAACATGTTTAAGAAAGGAGAAAAAAAAAATAAAAACCCCCAAAACCTGCAGAGATGCACCTGAAGAGAGGGATGAGAGTCTGTGAGTGCAGCAAATCTGCAGAGTCCGATTTCAGTGAAGAAGTAGTTGCTGGAGCAGAGATACCCTTGCAGTCTATGGTGAAGACTGTGGTGAAGACCATGGTGAGGCAGGCTCTCCCCCTGCAGCCCATGAAGGATCCCACTTTGGAGCAGGGGATGCCCAAAGGAGGTTGTGACCCCATGGGAAGCCAGCACTGCACATGTCTGAACACCTGCCTGCTGATGGGATGTGGTGAGTGATGTGTGCATCACTTGCTTGTGTGTGCAGCTTTGCATTCCCCTTTAAATTGTTTTTATGTGAACACAGGAGTTTTTTCACCTTTGCCCTTCTGTTTCTTTCTTACAAGTCACCAGGGAGGAACGAATGAGTGATTTAGCAAACTGCTGTGTAGGTCTTCGTTGCCGTCTGGGGTTAAACTGTGGTACTTCCTCGGTTGTTGTTTCTTTATACAGAAGATCTGACAGGATTAGATCTCAAACTGGCACATGCTGGTTTTTCTTTACAAAGTACAGGCAGAGATACCAGGGAGGGCTGTGACTGCTAGGGTAGAAGCAGGGAGGTTTCTGGAAAATTCATCTGAGTGTTTTCTCTGTCCTCTGAAAATTTCCCTTTTCATGAAATCCTCATAGATGCAGCATTTTCAGATCAGTGGTGACAAACCTGGTTTCTAAGATGGGAAGTATTTAACACCAGGATGCCTTTGCCATCTTGCATTGCACTGGCCTGTTTTTAACGGCATAACAGAGGAAGTTTTGTTGGTTTGAGGTGCCAAGTTCTCTGCAAAGAGCTTTGAGGTTGAAGGATGAGGCTAAAGAAGGTGTAATACTGTGCTTGTCAATTCAATGTGATCAAAGTTCAGTGTAATTTATGTTAAGCGATTACAGTCTTAATACAGGCAAGGGAAATAATGTATATAAAATATGACACGTCTTTACTGCTATTAGGTAAATATATCGTACATTTAGGATTAGAGTGAAATTATTGTTAAACAATTTCCACAATTTCTAATGTATTGAAACATTACAGAGAGTACCCTGTATCTTACTTTTGAAATTTACAATTTTATGATCGCTTGAACTACAGTTGAGAATTCCCTTTTTTCAGTTTAGATTGTTCTTGTGAATTCAAGTACTCGTTTCATCTCCCTTCTGTCTTCATATTGGTTTCCTTTTCGGGTCGCTTCCATGTGTTCTTGGCTCTGCTGTTAAAGTAGATACACAGAACACAGTTTTGTGCATAATTTCATACAGTAAAATTATACACTCTTTAAGTAAAACTATACAAAATTAGGAATCACTTAGTTCTACAGGCCAAATTTCAGGTCTGCGCATCAGCACAACTCTTAACTGCTCTTCCAGACTGCTGAGCATTGCATAGGATCTTTTGGGATTTGGTTGGGGAAGTTGTTACTGTGGAATTTTGGTTTCTAGGTGAGAGGAGACCAAACGGTCAAAATCTCGATCAAGCAGTTACCTGAATGGTTGTTTTTAGTCTTAGGGAATGTTTTTGCCTGTGGATTTCTTCTCTTCCAAGTTGGTGCATTATGGGATCCTGAAGTGTATTTGTCTGTAGGAAGAGCACAGACATGCTTTCCTCACTTGAGATGCACTTTCTGGAAAGACTTTCTTAGCCTGACAAGTGACTCAGATACTATACTATTACAAATATTACTTTAGCTGAAGAACCTATGATTGCATCGGATGAGTCCTGCAACACCTCTGAAATAGAAGCTAGGATTAAGTACAGATTCTCTCTCTCTCTAGTTCTCTCTTCAAAGATTTTTTTATAATTTTTCAGGCTATCCATAAGGCTCACAGGACCTCCCAGGCGAGGTGACTCTGCCACGGTCGTTCTGGACTTTAACTAAGTGCACGTTCCTGTACTGAAAATCTTCCCAAAGGCATCAGCTGCTTTTAGAGGAAACTAATGCATAATTCGGTCTTCCTGTTTTATCCATGCTTGTGAATGTACTTAGATGCAAGGCAATGTTATATGTAAGTACCCTTGTTTTCTCTTAGTTCCAGACTAATTGCATTAATTCACATTATTAATTCCGTACTAAAACTGAAATTTTCAGTTTACACCCAACACTGCGGTATTACCGTAGATGTCCGTTTGTGTCCAAAATCTCCTATTTTTGCCAGGCTCGTTCTTTCCTTTGGAGCATTTCTGAACAGATGGCTCAGGAACTACTGAAAAAAAAAAAAAACACACCACAAAACAGTAGCAAAAATGGTAATTGTTGGTATGACAAAAATCATATAAACGTAGAATCATATAATCACAGAATGGTTAGAGTTAGAAAGGACCTTAAAGATCATCTAGTTCCAACCCCTCTGCCACAGGTAGGTTCTCCTCAAAGTAGACCATGTCACCCAAGGGTCTGTCCAGCCTGGCCTTGAACTCTGCCAGGAATGGAGCATTCACCACTAATTGGGCAACCTGTTTCAGTGCTTCATGACCCTCAAAGAACTAGTTCCTTACATCTAACCTTAACATATAAGTTTAAAACCATTGTCCTATTGCTACCATCCCTGATGAAAAGCCCCTCTCTGGTATCCTTGTAGGCCCGTTATGGTTTAAGCCCAGCCAGCAACTTAGAACTGGCTGGGCTTAAACCACCACAGCCCCCTTCAGATACTGGAAGGCTGCTGTGAGGTCTCTATGCAGCCTTCTCTTCTCCAGGCTGAACAGCTGCAGTTTTTTTCCGCCTGTCTTCATACAGCTCAAGCCTCCTTATCATCCTTGTGGCCCTCCTCTGGACTTGTTCCAACAATTCCATGTCCTTTTTATGTTGAGAACATCAGAACTGCACGCAATACTCCGAGTGTGGTCTCACAAGAGCAGAGTAGAGGGGCAGGATCACCTCCTTTGACCTGCTGGTCACGCTCCTTTTGATGCAGCCCAGGATACAGTTGGCTTTCTTGACTGTGTGCACACTCTTCTGGCTCATTTTCAACTAATACCCTGAAGTCCTTCTCCGCAGGGCTGCTCTGAATCACTTCACTGCCCAACCTGTAGCTGTGCCTGGGATTGCCCTGACCCAGCAACCTTGCACTTTGCTATGTTGAACTTCATGAGGTTGGCATTGGCCCACAGCACCCCTTCCCTCCAGCTTGTCAACCAACCCACATAACTTAGTGCCGTTGGCAAACGTGGACACCGTCCATGTCGCCAACAAAGATGTTGAACAGGGATCATTCCTATCACCAACCCCTGAGGGACACCACTTATTACTGGTCTCCAGTTGCATGTTGAGTCATTGACCACAACTCTCTGTGTGCAGCCATCCAGCCAATTCTTTATCCACTGGGTGATCCATTCATTAAATGTATGTCTCTCCAGTTTAGAGACAAAGATGTCGTGTGGGGCAGTGTCGAACGATTGTCACAAGTCCAAATAGATGACGTCAGCTGCTTTACCCTTATCCATCAGTTCCATAGCCCAGTCATAGAAGGCCGTGAAATTGGTCAGGCATGATGTACTCTTGGGGAAGTCATGTTGGCTGTCACCAGCCACCCTGCTGTTCTTCATTTCTTTGTCTTTCATTTTCCCCTTCTTGAAAATGGGGTTATATTACACTTTCTCCAGTTGTCAGGAATGATGCTGACCACCTTGTTTTTAAATGGTATTGGGGAGACTCCTGTATCAGAAGTGAAGACAGGGAGGCAGCTTAAGATAGAGATTCAACGTGGTTTAAGAGAGGTGACCAAAACTGTCATGATAAAATGACTTTTTAATTTAGGATTATTGAAATTATTTACTGCTAGTTTTCTTGATGAAGTGACAGATGAAACAACACAGTTTTCCAGAGAATCTCTGGTCAGGAACAGGAGAAAGGCATATAGACCCCAAATGATGTACTAGATTTTTGAGGCTCTGTTAGCAAGTTAAAAATAAAGCAAAGGTCATACAGTTATGGTTACATCCAAACCAGATATCCAAGAAGAACAGAAGAAGTCTCAGTATCCCACCTGTAGGCTCCTGTCAAATGTGAGAATAGTACATACTATCAAGAGGACAAAGACAATGGGAAATATCATCCTGTATGAATGCAGGAAGAATAAAATTGTGCTGTGTCCAACAGAAAAAAAAGTGAAAATATAATAATCATAAAAATTTACACTGCATTTGAATGAAGAACAGTTTGAGTAAGATCTAAACCTTTTTTATTCAAGATGAAAAAAAAATCCTGAATAACATAATTGTAAATCATCCAATAATGGGGAAGTTAAAGGTAACTATTACAAGGTTTAATAAATATTTCAAAAGAATGAAAAACACATTGTAATGAATGTGGATCGGTACATTCATACGTATCAGCACATCATTGCATTCGTCCCTCTCTGTTGGGCAGAGAAAAGAATTCCTGCTTTGAAGGTGGTTAATTACTGTTTATGAATATTCTGTCTTGACTAATTGCAGAGCTTTATAAAGCATTACATTTCTGTCTGTGAGCACTGCTGCAGTCTAGTTATGAAAGTTACGCTGCATCAAATGTTCTCTTACCTGTCTTCAGGCGTAAATCACATATTCTACCTGCAGGGACACAATCGACCACAGCACAATACAGGCAGGTATATTGCAGGCATTTTAAGAATCTTCCATTTAAGCAGGAACCCACCTCTAGGTCGGCTGAACTTGGGTTCTTGGGTGACTGTGACAGTTCGGTAGACTACATATGCTGATCTTCGTGGTTCTGAAGAATGGAAATAAGTCTTTCTTCCAGGTTCTCTCACATTAGGAAGAGAATTGTTTTCACCATCCTTCCAGTGACCCTTTGGTTGGTAACCGGGTTGTGCACTGGGTTCTGCAGTGTAGCTATCTAAAAGTCAAAAAACAAATCATACTGTTGTGCTATTACCGAAAATTTGACAGACTGCAGGAGACTGAAGGCTGGAAGACAAGATTAAGAAAATGTTCATTATGGAGAGCCCAATCCAAATATAGACAGTTAGGTCATTCATGAGGTAACGATTAGCCATAAGAACTCCAAGCAAAAGTATCTTACCTCCATTTCCAAAGGATCTGCAGCCCGTTCTGGAAATACTCTCTTTTGGTACTCTCCTTCCCGTAGTCTTTCCTTCTCTACTTGTGGGGATCAGTTCTGGAGGAATTGTATTGCTGTCACCTGTGAAAGCATCAGAAATAATGTTTCAGCTGCTGGTGTTTAAGCACTGGGAAGGGCACTGCCATTGGCTTCCTCCCAGGTCTGTGAGCTTGTCATGAGTGCAGTGCAGTTGCCTTCCAACTCCCTTTTCATATTCTTCTCTCTCTTTTGGCTGTTACACAGTATCACAGCATGCTAGAGATTGGGAGGGACTTCAAAATATCATCTAGTCCAATCCCCCTGCCAGAGCAGGAACACCTAGATAAGTTTACACAGGAATGTGTCCAGGCGGGTTTTGCATGTCTCCAGAGAAGGAGACTCCACAACCTCCCTGGGCAGCCTGTTCCAGTGTTCTGTCACCCTCACTGAGAAGAAGTTGCTGTTCTTTGGATCCTGCCTGGAGTAACTCCACTACCTGAGCTATAACACTCATGCCCTCTAAGAAAATACCATTGTACACAGAGTAAAGAAGACACTGGCTCCAAAGTAAAGAACCAGCTATAAGTTACCTGCTTGTTGTTTGGCTTCTCACTTTTCATGAATGGTATTTATGAATCCTACCTGACCAAATTGATGGTATTTTCAAGGTGCCTTTCATCACAGAACTTAAAGCCTCAGAGAACTCAATTAAAGAAATGCTTTCTGTACAGCGCGACATCTTCCGATCGCCAGAACCTAACTACCTACAAAATGCCAATACAATTCCTTTGCTTATGTTCCAATTGCAGGGATAGCAAATGATACCAGACTGATTTGCCATGGCAAATGTCTTGTGTTGACTATCTCTAATGAACAAATTGTTGAGAAAATATATTTACTCACTGTTTGTAGGTGGTAGAAAAAGTCCATTGATATAACGAGGTTTGCTGTGATGGAAGGCACAGCTGATCCTCACACAGCCTGAGGGTTGTCTTTCCCACAAACAGGCAATGTTCTTCAACTTCTGCTGCAGGACGAAACAGTTTTCAGATACTGTAAATGAACTAGTAAAAACAGACTTAATGGATTAGTACATGATGTAACTACTGTGCACATCCAAGTAAGACTTGGTGGGAGTGTATTCTGATATTTTAGAACATTTAAAGAAACCTTGAATAAAATCTGCTGTACATGTGGTGAATCTTATACAATTACTTTCTTACTATTACGAGTACACGGGTCTGTGGGAAAATGAGAGGTGAAAAAGAAACCCCACAGAGATTCCCAACAAGAAACAAAACCCTAAACATTTGGGAACTTGTAATCCTTGCACAGACCTGTTCACACTTGGACTTAAAAATCTGGAAAAAAATCTTTTTTTTTTTTTTTTCCCAGTTCCCAGTTTGTGTGTGAGTTTTTAAAGGCAACAAAGACACACTTTAAAATGTTAGAGCATTTGAAGGTCGGCTTCACCCAGTTCCAGACATTTAGAGCTGGGTGTAGGGGGCTTTTTTTCACCTGGTGGAACATAAATACTATTTTTTGTGGACAAACCCATTTTTAAGGGCTTTGTTTTAAATAACAGATTTAAAGGAATTCAGGTAATTGCTTGAGGCAGAAATGAACACTTATGAGCACTTTTTTATAAAAATGGGGAAATTAGGGAAAACAAACAAAGAGAAAATCACAAAGTAAAAAAACCCAACAAACTCCACAGGAACTCGGCCCGGCAGTGCATGGTGACTTCACTCACAGGACAAGTCAGCAGAGCACAACAGTGCTGTACGTCATTGGTGTGCCAGGGCAGGACTGACTGGGGCACACAAGGGAAGGAGAATTCAGGAAAGCAGATGAGGTCCGTGAGTAAGGAGCCATCAGTGGGCAGGAGCAGCCTTAGGAAGGCCAGGTCAGCTGTGCCAGGGGCTGTCTGTAGTTGTGCAGCTGGGCCTACATGAGGCACTTAAAAGCCTACATGAGGAACTTAAAGCCTCAGAGAACTCAATTAAAGAAATGCTTTGGTTAAACCTCTGTCATTTTCTCAGAATGTATCTAATGATTTATCACTACATCCCATCATCTAGACACGCAGGAGATCTCTGGGAAAGGGACTCATCTCATCTTCCTTTGGCAGTCTCTTATGGTGGAATAAAAAGGTCTTTAAGAGTGCCTCTTTTTGTGAAAATCTCTCTCCTTTTACAAGAGAGAGCCTAGACAAGAACTTTAAACTACGTTACTAACCAAAGGATGGTTGATAGCCTATTTCCAACTTTCACCTCTACAATCAATACACAGTCACCCTGTGTGTGACACTCACAATATGTGTTATATATATATATATACAGGAAATATGCGGTCTTTAATTGTCCCTGAGTTCAGAGGCCTGGAGAGGAGGGGCAAACTCTGTCATAGTTTCTCCTTGTAAGAGTAATTGCAAAAGTGGAACCCATTGTCCGAGGTGACGAAAAGTACTTGCCTTTCTGCAAGTCCCACTGGGTAGCTTCCAAGGGCTGTAGCTCAGTTTCCTGAGACGGTGACAAAGGACTGGGTGACAGCTGTTGGTCAGGCTGCTGAATCCCATAAAACTCTCCTGAACATTATCCAAGAGGGAAAAATACCCCAAATTTACTGTGTGTGCAACATGGCTGCTCAGAAAAGAGTGACAACTCCTTTCATACTTACCAGATTTATAGCATATGTCCTTTATTGCTCTTTCCTCTTCGATATCCTCAGCAGTCTTAGGCACCCAGTCAGAAACATCTGTGGGAAACACTTAAGTTAGCTAGACAAAGACCTTCAACAATTCTTAACAGTCAAATGCCATGACAAATTTTGTTTCCATTACATTTTTGGTTTGGCTTTCCTTTCTTTTTTTTCCTCCTTACTGCAGTCCCTGCTTCTGGATAGGGAATTTGTCCCTTCAGTGTAGGTATTTCCAAGGGCAAAGGAACTGCAGTCATAAGCCTTGTTAAGAAGCTAATGTGTGTTGATTTAAAATTACTAGTACAGTCATTTGTGCAGTGTGCACCTTAGATCAGGTTGTTCTTTCACTTTGACTCTCCAGGAATGTGCAATTCATCCCTCCCCTGTGGGACTCTCACCTCTAAATGAGGCCACCAAATTGGTCGGGCATGATTTGCCCTTAATGAAGCAACATTGGGCTTGTTTTTTCGTATGCCTTAGCATGGTTTCCAGGAGAATCTGCTCCAAGATCCTGCCATGCACAGAGGTGAGACTGACTGGTCTGCAGTTTCCTGCATTAATATAAAAATACAGAAAAGAAACACATTCAAATAAACTGGATAAACGAGCGAAGAGCTTGGTATGGATTCTTTTTGCTAGGTGTGAGAATAACATTCGGTAACGAGACTGCTTACAGAGTTCAGGAAGTCAGTGGATCCCTATGGATCTCTCATCTGTAAATGAGATTCACTGAACGGTTGAACCACATTTAAAAACTTTTAAACCGTAAGGACCTAAGTGTATAAACATACTGTCCTGGGTTTAGCAGCAGCAGTCATTTTTTCTCCTTCTTGGTAGCTGGTGCAGTGCTGTGTTTTGACTTTCGGGCTGGGAACAAAGCTGATAAAAATGATGTTTTGGTTTGGCCAAGGACTTTGTGAGTCTCATGCTCTGCCAGGGAGGAGGGGAAGCCGGGAGGAAGCAGAGACAGGACACCTGACCCAAACTGACCAAAGAGGTATTCCATACCACAGCACGTCATGCCCAGGGGGGAACTGGGAGGTACCCGGAAGGACAGGGGGTCGGCCGGGTCGGACTGGTGGTTCGGCGCGTGGTATTGTACTCCTTTCCTTTGCTATTTTCTCTTATCATTGTTGTCGTTGGTGGTAGCGGTGGTGATTCGTATTGTACATTAGTTGCTAGACTGTTCTTATCTCAGCCCGTGGGAGTTGCATTCCTTCGAGTCTCCTCCCCACCCCTCTGGGAGTGGGGAAAGGGGGCGGCAGCCCCTGGGAAAGGGAGGGGGCGGACTAACGTGGGCCTCGATTGCTTCTAGCCTGGCACCACTCACTGGGAGTAAGTGCACAAGCTGTCTTGGTTGGGGTTAAACCACGACAGTTCTTTTTGGCGCCCAACGTGGGGCACGAAGGGGTTGAGATAACGACAGATCTGACCGGATTAATAGTCACTCATCACAATGCTGATTTATTGGCTCTCAAAGTTGTTCCTCTTGATCTCACAGCTTCATAATGTTGTAACTTACTTAGATCTGGTATTTGCTGTATTAGTGTTTTTCAAGTGTGGGGCTTGGGCTAAAGTTCTTGTCTCAGTGTACTTTATGATAATGACTTGTAACACAATAGAATTATTGATCATGAAACTTATCTGGCTTATGTTCCCAGTATGGTCACCACCTTTATACTTTGGGAGGTATATAATAGAAGTGCTTAGCAATTACACATATTCTTTCTCCTTCTCGGGTGGTCAACCTGTGAAGGAGGCATTCTTTTACCCTCCCAGTCCTCCCCCCAGAGCATTTACAGCATCATTTGAGAGTTTTGAATGGCCTTTTAATGCTATTGAGACTTGTTTGCTGATTGTGATGGGGATCACCATGTTGGCACGTATACAGAGTGTATTTTGGCCACAACTATTTAATCTGTTTTCAGAAGTTAAGCAGAGTCAGGTTTGGGTCTTGTCTGGGGTTAAACGACGAAGTAGGAGGACCAAGAGATTTTCTCTGAGGCTGGACAGCCATGAGTGGCAGGGTGTGTGGGACAGTATGGGCAAGTATCTAGGTCAGCTGATCCGTAGACTGGAGAGTCAGGGAGTGATCAGCAGGACCCGCTCGCCCTTTAATAGCCCCATATGGCCAGTGCAAAAGTCTAACGGAGAGTGGAGACTAACAATAGACTATCGTGGCCTGAATGAAGTCACACCACCCTTGAGTGCTGCCGTACCAGACATGCTAGAACTTCAGTATGAACTGGAGTCAAAGGCAGCCAAGTGGTATGCCACGATTGATATTGCCAATGCGTTTTTCTCAATTCCTTTGGCAACAGAGTGCAGGCCACAGTTTGCTTTTACTTGGAGGGGTGTCCAGTTCACATGGAACCGACTGCCCCAGGGCTGGAAACATAGCCCTACCATTTGCCATGGACTGATTCAGACTGCACTGGAACAGGGGCAAGCGCCAGAACACCTGCAATACATTGATGACATTATAGTGTGGGGCGATACAGCAGAAGAAGTCTTTGAGAAAGGGAGGAAAATAATCCAAATCCTGCTGAAAGCCGGTTTTGCCATAAAACGAAGTAAGGTCAAGGGACCTGCACAGGAGATTCAGTTTCTGGGAATAAAATGGCAAGATGGACGTAGACAGATCCCCACAGATGTAATCAACAAGATAACAGCAGTGTCTCCACCAACTAATAAGAAAGAAACACAAGCTTTCTTGGGTGCAGTGGGGTTCTGGAGACTGCACATCCCAAATTACAGTTTGATTGTAAGCCCTCTCTATTACGTGACCCGTAAGAAGAATGATTTTAAATGGGGACCTGAGCAACAACAAGCCTTTGAGCAAATTAAACGCGAGATAGTTCATGCAGTGGCCCTTGGACCAGTTCGGACTGGGCCAGATGTAAAAAATGTATTGTACACCACAGCTGGGGAGAATGGCCCTACCTGGAGCCTCTGGCAGAAAGCTCCAGGAGAGACTCGAGGTCGACCCCTTGGTTTTTGGAGTTGGGGATACAAAGGATCCGAGGCAAGCTATACCCCAACTGAGAAAGAGATACTGGCAGCCTATGAAGGGGTTCGAGCTTCTTCGGAAGTGATTGGCACCGAAGCACAGCTCCTCTTGGCACCCCGGTTGCCCGTGCTAGGCTGGATGTTCAAAGGCAGGGTCTCCTCTACGCATCATGCAACTGATGCTACGTGGAGTAAATGGGCTGCACTAATTACACAATGAGCTCGAATAGGAAATCCCAGTCGTCCAGGCATTCTAGAAGTCATCATGGACTGGCCAGAGGGCAAAGATTTTGGAATGTCACCAGAGGAGGAGGTGATGCGTGCTGAAGAGGCCCCACCATATAATCAGCTGTCAGAAAGTGAAAAGCAGTATGCCTTCTTTACTGATGGGTCCTGCCGTATTGTGGGAAAACATCGGAGATGGAAGGCAGCTGTATGGAATCCTTGACGACAAGTTGCAGAAACTGCTGAAGGAGAGGGTGAATTGAGTCAGTTTGCTGAGGTGAAAGCCATCCAGCTGGCCCTGAACATTGCTGAACGAGAAAAGTGGCCAGTACTTTATACTGACTCATGGATGGTGGCAAATGCCCTGTGGGGGTGGTCGCAGCAATGGAAGCAGAGCAACTGGCAACGTAGAGGTAAACCTATCTGGGCTGCTGCACTGTGGAAAGATATTGCTGCCTGGGTGCAAAACCTGGTGGTGAAGGTACGTCATGTAGATGCCCATGTACCCAAGAGTCGGGCCACTGAGGAACACCAGAACAACCAACAAGTGGATAAAGCTGCTAAGATTGAAGTGGCTCAGATGGACTTAAATTGGCAACATAAAAGTGAATTATTTTTGGCCCAGTGGGCCCATGACACTTCAGGCCATCAGGGCAGAGATGCAACATATAGATGGGCCCGTGATCGAGGGGTGGACTTAACAATGGACACTATTGCCCAGGTTATTCATGAGTGTGAAACATGTGCTGCCATTAAACAAGCCAAACGGTTAAAACCTCTTTGGTATGGAGGACGATGGCTGAAGTATAAATATGGGGAGGCCTGGCAGATTGACTATATCACACTGCCACCAACCCGCCAAGGTAAGCGCCATGTGCTTACCATGGTGGAAGCAACCACCGGACGGCTGGAAACGTACACTGTGCCCCACGCCACTGCCCGGAACACTATCCTGGGCCTTGAGAAACACATTTTGTGGCGACGCAGCACCCCAGAGAGAATTGAGTCAGAAAATGGGACTCATTTCCGGAATAACCTTATAGACACTTGGGCCAAAGAGCATGGCATTGAGTGGGTATATCACATCCCCTACCATGCACCAGCCTCTGGGAAAATCAAAAGGTACAATGGGCTTTTAAAAACTACACTGAGAGCAATGGGTGGGGGAACTTTCAAGCATTGGGATACACACTTACCAAAGGCCACCTGGTTGGTCAACACTAGAGGATCTGCCAACAGAGCTGGCCCAGCCCAATCGGAACTTTTACATATTGTAGAGGGGGACAAAGTTCCTGTGGTGCATATGAAGAATTTGCTGGGGAAGACAGTCTGGGTTATTCCTGCTTCAAGTAAAGGCAAACCCACTCGTGGGATTGCTTTTGCTCAGGGACCTGGATACACTTGGTGGGTAATGCGGGATGATGGGGAAGTCCGATGTGTACCTCAAGGGGATTTAATTTTAGGGGAAAACAGCCAATGAACTTCATTGTATGTTGTTGCCTGCTGTGTAATACTTTAATAGCCCATCAACCAGATGTCTTCAGGCCACCAGCGACTAGCCCTGACTTTTCTTCAACCATCATCCCAACAGAGAGCGAACTTTGACAGAACCAGACAAGTTCTACAGTAAGGGAATGATCAGCATCAGCAGGCAACGACCCAATACTGCACGCGGCCTCTCCTGTTGTGAAAGACTGTTACAAGAGATGGAGCCTGACTTCATGGACCAGATGGACTCAGCAGCTTTATAGGGACTAGTCTTTGCACTAAGATAGAAGTGCACTGAGATCAGAGTGATGGTATATTGAAAATGTAGGATCTGAGCATGACGTGAATGGTATGGAATAAGGGGTGGATAATGTCCTGGGTTTAGCAGCAGCAGTCGTTTTTTCTCCTTCTTGGTAGCTGGTGCAGTGCTGTGTTTTGACTTTCGGGCTGGGAACAAAGCTGATAAAAATGATGTTTTGGTTTGGCCAAGGACTTTGTGAGTCTCATGCTCTGCCAGGGAGGAGGGGAAGCCGGGAGGAAGCAGAGACAGGACACCTGACCCAAACTGACCGAAGAGGTATTCCATACCACAGCACGTCATGCCCAGGGGGGAACTGAGAGGTACCCGGAAGGACAGGGGGTCGGCCGGGTCGGACTGGTGGTTCGGCGCGTGGTATTGTACTCCTTTCCTTTGCTATTTTCCCTTATCGTTGTTGTCGGTGGTGGTAGCAGTGGTGATTCGTATTGTACATTAGTTGCTAGACTGTTCTTATCTCAGCCCGTGGGAGTTGCATTCCTTCGATTCTCCTCCCCACCCCTCTGGGAGTGGGGAAAGGGGGCGGCAGCCCCTGGGAAAGGGGGGGGGGGGGGCGGACTAACGTGGGCCTCGATTGCTTCTAGCCTGGCACCACTCACTGGGAGTAAGTGCACAAGCTGTCTTGGTTGGGGTTAAACCACGACACATACACATTCAGGTAAACTAGGAAAGAGCTTGGTATGGATTTTGTTTGCTAGATTTCAGAATAATGTTGTGTAAGGAGACTGCCTACGGAGTTGAGGAGATCAGTGGAACAGGTTATATAAGTTGAATTAACACAGTTGTCGTTTGTAAACAAACCTGTGACTCCCATCACCTTCACTGAGGAGTGAGTACAGCCCCTGTTCAAAAGCTGGTTTCCAGGAAGAGAAGTACCTCCTAAGCCTGTAATGTCATCTCTGAATTGTGAGGACTTGTGAGGAGTATTCGATGGCCATCTGAACTGTGGATCGTACTGTCTGAATTGGGGATCACCTTTTAAAGTCTAGTGAGTCTAGCGAGAAAGAGGAATGTGAGTTACACCACTGTTGAAACATACAGCTGGGCATTTCACAGGAGTTAGAAAATGGTGCCTCACTCGCATCTGGTGACTACCAGGTCTGATAATTTGGGGGTTTGCTGGAAACTATTTCAGCAACTTGTCAACCACTCTCTTCTTCAAATATAATGATTCTTCTAATAAATCAGTTGATTGTGAAGTACATTGCAAGAGTTGACAAAACCCATACTACTTGCTTGTAAAGGACAGAAAAAAACTTTACAGATCTCTTCGTTGTCCTCTACGCTATCCTCTTCATCATTCTCTTCATCACTGACATTGTTGACCATTGGAGGGTGAATTGGTCTTAAAATATTTTCTGGACTTGTGAGTGATCCTTGACACTGGGCTGGAGGCAGAATCACTTCACGGTCACCCTGTGGCAGTGGGGCATCTGCAGAAAAGAGCATTAGATTTCTCTTATTAGGAGTGACCTGGAATATAAAATCCATGTTGACATCAGCAGCTGTAGTTTTGAAACCATTATCATAAGGAATTAATCATGGAGAGATTGTGCCTTTCAGGAAGAATCTTCCGCAGAGGTTGGCAAAAGAGCATCTTCCAACTACAGAAAGTCTTAAAAGTCATATTAAAATTGACAATATAGGGACAAGTGTAATTAGTAATACCTGGTCTGAAGTGAATAAATGAGTTCAGAGTCTCACCACTGTAAAAGATATGTCAGGCTACCTTTTCCGTGGGGAATTTCAGGAGCACAAAGGGTTTGCTTCTGACTAGAAGTCTTCCTGGACTTCTCTCACGACACCTGTCTCCATCTCTGAAGTTAATCCCCATGAACAACTCTCTTTTAGCTCTCACTCCTGTTTATGCTGCATTTCTGATATCCAAAGATTTGTAACACAACAGCAACAAAAATTCCTGCAACAACCCTATTCAAATGCCATACAATTCCTTTACTTGTGTTCCAATTGCAGGGATAGCAGATGATACCAGACTGATTTGCCATGGCAAATGTCTTGTGTTGACTATCTCTAATGAACAAATTGTTGAGAAAATGTATTTACTCACTGTTTGTAGGTGGCAGAAAAAGTCCATTGATATAACGAGGTTTGCTGTGATGGAAGGCACAGCTGATCCTCACACAGCCTGAGGGTTGTCTTTCCCACAAACAGGCAATGTTCTTCAACTTCTGCTGCAGGAGAAAACAATTTTCAGATACTGTAAATGAACTAGTAAAAACAGACTTAGTGGATTAGTACATGATGTAACTACGGTGCACATCCAAGTAAGACTTGGAGGGAGTGTATTCTGATATTTTAGAACATTTAAAGAAACCTTGAATAAAATCTGCTGTACATGTGGCAAATCTTATGCAGTTAATCGCTTACTATTACGAGTACACGGGTCTGTGGGAAAATGAGAGGTGAAAAACAAACCCCACAAAGATTCCCAACAAGAAACAAAACCCTAAACATTTGGGAACTTGTAATCCTTGCACAGACCTGTTCACACTTGGACTTAAAAATCTGGAAAAAAATCTTTTTTTTTTTTTTTTCCAGTTCCCATTGGAAACATCAACTTGGCTGCAGGAAGTCACTTTTGTTTTCAAACAAAAACATGTGTTTTGAAGGGGCTTGCTCCTTTCCACCTGTTATTTCCGTATCTCTAAATCCACTGAACAGATGTGAATATCTCCATTTCTGTAGCGGGTGCACAGTATCACATCCAAGAGGTTTTCCACACTGATGGAATCTGCACCCGAAGAAAATAAATTTCTGGATAGTCACACTGGTTTCCCATACCCCCATGGCTGTCATAAAGGTGACTCTGCTCCTTTAAAAGATTTTGGTTTTAATAAATGGGGAAGATGGTGCAGTGGTGCATGTGTAACAGTGTCACAGTGACAAATGTAAACTCAGGTTTTTTATCCTGGATACAGACCACATCCCAGCTGAGAGCTATACACACCAGGTGACCTGTTGTTTCTCAGTGAGTTTGTGTGTGAGTTTTTAAAGGCAACAAAGACACACTTTAAAATGTTAGAGCATTTGAAGGTCGACTTCACCCAGTTCCAGACATTTAGAGCTGGGTGTAGGGAGCTTTTTTTCACCTGGTAGAGCATAAATATTATTTTTTGTGGACAAACCCATTTTTAAGGGCATTGTTTTAAATAACAGATTTAAAGGAATTCAGGTAATTGCTTGAGGCAGAAATGATAAACATGGCCTATTTATTGAGAATCAGTATAAAGTTGACTCAATAAGAAAGTGATGAGTAGTCTATAGGCATGATTTCTAACTTCTGTGTTCTTTGGTTGCCTGTGCCCAGTTTAAATTGTATATAGTTTAGATTACCGTTAGCTCTTCTCAACACCTCTGAAAATATTGTATTTTGATTTACAGGTGCTGCCGTGACACAGAAGGATGCCATAGCAACTTGAAAGTTTGTATTATGGCCCTCCCTTTCAACATAAGGCCCTCCCTTTCAATATTCAACAGATACCAATAAAATCAAGGATACAAACCACTCTAAAATGTACAGCATTACCTGTGCATAGGGGGAATGAAAATGGAAATTGAGTTCATTGTCTGCTGTGGGCATCTTCGCCTCTTCTACTTTTCCTTCTCTCTCAGTACTCTCTGAAAATACATGAAAATGTTAAAGCTTTTACATTCTGGCAAACCGTAATCTTATCCTAAAATCAGTAGCTTTGTTTCAAAAACTGGACCTTCAGAATATTAGCTCTGCTGGGATTTTTTGAAACAAAACTCCACAGAGCAGTAGGCTTCAAGGAAGGATGTGGTACCTCCTCTAGGCATCCTGAGCTGAAGAAGGCAGTTGCTGTCCAGTATAGAGTGTTCCATTTCCATGGTTACCAACGGCTCCTCCTGTGGGTGGCCTGTCCAGCTTGACCATCTTCCTTTATCTTGTTGCTTCAGAGTAAAGTATGGAAAATGGGACTGTCTCTCAAGAGTCTCCCATTCTGGTGTTTCTTTACTGTAAAATGTAGCAGGGTGCTAGGTGTTAACTTGCTGGCGTTCCTTGCTTTTTCTTGCTTCCATGATGTCCAGTGCCACAGCAGAAAGAGCAGTGGACACATGGATCCCTAACAAAAACCTCTGTTCCCATTCAGGTCCCAGGCTGCCTCAGAACAAAAAAAAATATTTTGGGGGAAATTAAATTTTGGTCCTGGAAATCAGTGAAGGCATGCTGTTATCCCCAGTTCATGGGATCAGATCCACAGCAGTGAGAGACGTCTGTGACTTGGAAATGAACACTTACAAGCACTTTTTTTATAAAAATGGGGAAATTAGGGAAAACAGACAAACAGAAAATCACAAAGTAAAAAAACCCAACAAACTCCACAAGAACCTGGCCCGGCAGTGCATGGTGACTTCACTCACAGGACAAGTCATCAGAGCACAGCGGTGCTGTACGTCATTGGTGTGCCAGGGCAGGACTGACTGGGGCACACAAGGGAAGGAGAATTCAGGAAAGCAGATGAGGTCCGTGAGTAAGGAGCCATCAGTGGGCAGGAGCAGCCCTAGGAAGGCCAGGTCAGCTGTGCCAGGGGCTGTCTGTAGTTGTGCAGCTGGGCCTACATGAGGCACTGAAGCACGGCTGGTCAGGAAGAACTGATTCTGCCCCGGGTTTGTGTGGCAAAGATGTGGTAGCTGGGGGCTACAGGGAGGAGCTGCTGGAAGCTTCCCATGTGTCCAGCAGGGCCGATGACAGCAGGGGAGAAGGGACTGGTGGGGGGAAAGTGTTGGGAAATTTGCCTTTTATTTTTTCATGCCCGGCTTGGCTGCGATTGGCAATAAACTGAGAGAAAAGCGTGAGTGATCTCTGTCCGTGTCCTTGCGTCGACCCACGGGCCTTTCGTTGTTTGTTCTCCCCTCTGTGCAGGTGAAGAGGGTGTTAGAAAAAGAGTGAAATTTTACATTGACATGATTATATAAAGTAATGGAAATGATTATATCTGAGAAGTTTTCGAATCAAAAGTAGACTTCTGTACATTAGAAGAATGTTGTAACTTTGCTGTTTTGTATTTTAGTTACTCTATAACCAAAAATACCACAATGGTAGCCTTAGCAGTAGAAACTAACATAACCACAAGAAGAACACAGGATGTCTGGCCTTAGACTTTGTGGTTTAAAACAAGGAACTGTGCGTCTTGATAATACAAATGTTCATAATCTTTGTTTTGTTTAAATGAAGCTCTGTGTAGAAATAGGGACTATGTATCTTAAGCAGCAGACAAATTTGTAATCTCTGCAATACTGATAGCTTTGCAAAATTACTCTAACATAGAAACAGCCAAGTGAGGAAGTTAGAATGTTGGCGTCCACATAATGGTTGGGGCCTGTCCAAGTAACGGAAAGGTGAAAAGCATAAGGTGAGGAAGAGTTTCTATTTCATCTGAGGAAGACTCTTTACGTCATCAGGACGACCACCAGAGGGGGCTGCGCAAGCGCAGAGGAGGCTGATGTAATGAAGTAATCCCCGATGTGTATGTATTAGTTAACGTAGCAACCCATGTTGAATATGCATTGTGAAATTTTTATGTATAAATTGTGAACGCGATGTGACGGGGTTAGAAGCAGATTTGGGTGCGTACCCCTGGTTCCAGGCGCCTCAATAAAAGCACCTCATATAACCATTCCGGTGGTTATGTGTCAGTTCTTACGCTACCAAGGGCAGTGATAGAGCATCTTTGGTGGGTGCCTGGCGTCCAGGCAGAGTCAGCCCGGCAAAGACTCATGGGTTGTACGCCGAGGCAGAGAGCCTAGGTAAGGACAGGAGGCGGCTGTCCTGAGGGAGAGGTCCCCACAGCTTGGGGCCTCAGGCCGGCCTCGGCCTCAGCTTCGTGGCCGCCTGGGCCCATGTCCGAGCACAGCTGTGAAGCCCGGGGCGGCCCCTGGCCCGGCGGCAACTGCCGCTGGGGAGCGCGGAGCTGCAGCAGACCCACGGCCGGGCGGGGCGGCGGAACCGACACGAGGCTGCAGGCTGCTGGAGACAGGCAGCCCAGCTCACCCACCGCGCCCACGGCCGTGCCGCAGATGGCGGCGGGGGGCAGTAATGGGTTCCACGTCCCGTGGCGCCCCGCGAGCGCGGCGCAGGCGCAGTGTGGGCTTGGCGCGGGGCTGGCGGCGGGAGGGCTTTCGGGGCTGGGGCCGATATCATGAGACGCCGGGGTGCAGTGCAGCGGAAGGTGCCGTGTTTGTTCGTGACGGAGGTGAAGGAGGAGCCGTCGGCCAAGCGGGAGCAGCAGGTGGTCGGGGCGGTACGGTCCCGGGAGAGCGGTAGGAGGTGGGGGTCCCAATTTCCGCGGCGGGGCCTAGTCCTGTGCCGGGTCGAGCTGAGCGGAGCCCGACGGGTGTGACGACGGGGTGAGTCAGCCTTGTGGTGAGAGGTTTGGCTGCAGGTCTCTGGCGAAATGAACGGTGGCGCTTCCAGGTGCTTACGCAAGTTTCGGGAGTGGTTACGGCAAGGAACGAGCCTGCTCCAGCATGGGGAGACTGGGAGTTCTGTTAAACTGTCGTGCCATGCCCTCCCGTGGGCCTTGTGGGGAATAAACACGCTTTTTGTCTTTTTTTTTTATTTTCTTTTTTGTTGTGATCCAGGCAGTAACAGGGTTATGCGAGAAGAATTCCTTTGAGGCTGTAAAACGTGGGATATCTAATAAGGGGAAAGTAGTGGATCCGAATCACTGTTACGACTTCCTGAGATGGAAATGTCTGTGTCAAGACAGACGGGTGTGATTCACCTCTCTAGGCATAGACCTTCAATCTTTCTTACCTGGTTTTAGTACCAGTACCTACTGTTTTCTGTCAGCTGCATGGTGAACTTGTATACATGTGGGTGACTTTCACCCTTTAGTATTTCACTTCTGGACGGAAGAGCTGAAATGATTGCCAAGATTTCAGTAGATAAGTTGTTAAACTCTTAGTAGCAACACTATCATGGTAATGGTCATGTATGGGTCTCCCTATTTTATTTTTTTTTTAATTCATACAGAAGAAACCATTAGGGGATTAGATCTACAACTGGCATACGCTGTGTTTTCCTTTTTTTCAAACAGCAGGCAAGAATTCCAGAGGGGGTTCTGTTTGCTAGGGAAGAAAGGGGGGGGGGGGGGGGGGGGGGAAGAAAACCAACGGGAATTTTAGCTTCTTACCCTGAAAGTTTTTCATGTAATCTTCATAAAATTGTCATAGATGATTACAAATCTGGTTTCTAAAATAGAAAGCAGCCCATTTATACAAAGAAAGCCTGTAGAAGGTTCTCATTTTATGAATTCAGAGTTCTGTTTTGAGATTTACAACTCATAGGTGTCCTGGGAGAGAGGAAGAAGGGGAGATGGTTTTGCGGGAACATTTAAATCCAAACACAACTGATATGTTTACAGTGACTCTGTTACAGAACCCCGCTTAGAAATTTGGAATAGTTGTGGCTGGCTGTTTATTTCAGATGCCTGGATCACTTGTGTCTTTGCTCTTTGAAGTGGAAGACTGTTTAGTTGGCAGCTCTGATACCAAGTGTGTAACACCAGGATGCTTTTGCTACCGTATGTTGCACTGGCCTGTGTATTTCATGGCATAAAATGGTGCTGTTGGCTTCCAGCTCCAAACTGAGAGCTTGGAGCAGCTCATCGGGATGAATTTCTGTTGCCATTGTCATACAGGAAGGCACATCTCCAAATACTTCAGCATTAGCCTGGAACCCTTCTAATTTATGTGCACTACTTGAAGTGCATAAAATGGCAAAATTATCTCTAAATAATAATCAGGTGTGGAAAAGGGGGAGAGAGTTTGCAAACAGATTGCTTTTCGTCTTTTGTATTAGAGCATTTTCCAAGCTGCCATGTCTTGAGGAAACACTGGTGTATTTTGATAGGATTAGAAATCAGGAATAGGATGAGTAAGACTTGGCTTATAGAATCCAGTTGTCAGGAGGAAGAATCCACATGAGAAAAAGACAGTAATCTAGCCATGATGAGGGTTAAAAATACCTGTTTTTTTTTTTTCAGCCGTTTAAAGTTTTGGCTACTGAAACCATAACTGCAAAGGCGATAGAGGCAGATATATACAGTGCAATTCCTACTGAAAAGGTGGATGGAACCTGCTGTTATGTAACTACCTACAACGGTAATGCAACAGTTTTGTGAGTTTTCTCATGCTGAATAGAAGCCTTGTTTTATGTAGCTTTTGCTTTTGTTGTGAGATTTATTGGATTACAGCTTTTGTGAATGCAGCTGCCATTGAAGATCTTGACCATGCAGTAATAGTTACTGTAACCATAGGTCCGTGTAGTCTAAGGAATGTATGAATTTATGTAGTGTCATTGGCTGTAAAATTTCTCTTGTTGCAAATGAGAATTCATATCTTGTCTTTTAAGTACTTGATTTCAGCGGGTATGGTCATCTCAGTAAACTGCTGGTTTTCTTTCTCTGGAAACTCTAGGGCAACCCTATCTGTGGGCTAGGCTGGATCGTAAACCTAACAAGCAAGCTGAAAAAAAGTTTAAACAATTCTTGTATTCATTGGAAGATTGCAAAGGTTGGTGAAGATTTCTTACCTTTTTTTTGTTTACCAATCTAAGTTAATCTAGTTTGAAAAATGGCTCTCTAATGCAGGAAATGTCAGTGATTATACTCAAATTTTTTTCATGTCGCTCTTCAAGAGAACTTTAGAGTTAACTGTGGAAGGAGGTACCAAAAGCAGTGCAGTAGGTGAGATAAGGGCTGGCATGGTATCACGAGTGGTTGGCAATGCCTGTGGGAATGTTTACAGGTCTCCTGGGAGCATGGAGAACTCAGTAATGTATCTGAAATTCTTGTACACCAGTGCATGCAGTATGAGAAGCAAACAGCATGAAATGGAAGCATTGGTTAGCTCCCAGAATTACAATATCATTGGTATTATTGATAATTGACAGAATGAGTGGCACTATTGGAGTGCTGGGAGGGAGGCCTACAGGCTATTTAGGAGGGATAGGGCAGGTGAGGTGGAGGTGTTGCACTGTGCATAAGGGAAAGGTTTGACTCTACAGTCTGTATGGTTAATAGGTGATGCAGTTGAGGAGTAGGGGAATGGAAAACAAAGGAGACATTATAGAGGGGTGTCTACTTCCAATAGCCCAGCCAGGATGCAAGCAGCAATAAGTTATTTCATAGGCAGTTAGGAGATGTTTCTGGATCAGTAGCCCATGTCCTTGTGGGAGATTGCGACTTCCTAGACATCAACTGGGAATATCATACTGCTGTGGTGAGCAGGTCTTGGAAATTCTTGGAAAGTTTGTAGGAGATAACTTCTTGTCACAGGCATTCAGTGAGCCAACTAGGAAAGATGCCCTCCTAGACTTCCCGTTTGTGAATAGAGTAGGACACATGGGGGACATGATGGTAGGTGGCTGTCTTGGTGACAATGATCATGTAGTGGTTGAGTTTAAAATTTTCAGGGCAGGAGGAGAAAAGGACAGCAGAGTTGCTGTCTGGACTTCAGGAGAGCGAACTTTAAGCTTCTCAGGGAGTTGTTTATCGGAGTACCCTGAGAATCTGCTTTTAAAGGCTTAGGAGTCCACAAGTGCCAATCAGTCTTTAAGAATTATTGTTTAGAAGCACAGGAGCAGGTAGTTACACTGGGTTGTAAGTCAAGCAAAGGGGGCAGAAGTTCAGCTTGGCTGAACAGGGAACATCTTCTGGAGCTGAAGAAGAAAAGGAAATCCTGTGATCTCTGGAAACAAGGTCAGGCTTTGCTGGGGTATTACAGAGACATGGTTTGTGTATCATAGAATTGTATAGCAGTTAGGGTTGGAAACGACCTTAAGATCATCTAGTTCCAACCACCCTGCCATGGGCTGGGACACCTCACAGTAAACCATGTCACCCCAGGCCTTGAACACTGCCAGGAATGGAACATTTACAGCTTCCCTGGGCAACACATTCCAGTGCCTCACCACCCTTACAGAAAAGAACTTCTTCCTCATATCCAATCTAAACTTCCCCTGCTTAAGTTTTAACCTATTACCCCTTTCCTGGCACTACAGTCCCTAATGAAGAGTCCCTCCCCAGCATCCCTATAGGCCCCCTGCAGATACTGGCAGGCTGCTATGAGGTCTCCACGCAGCCTCCTCTTCTCCAGAAAGAAAAAATTATGCTAAGTTCAATTAGAGTTGAAACTGGACAGTGTTGTTTCAGTTAACAAAAAGGGCTTTTTCATGTATGTTAGTAGCAAGAGGAGGTCTAGAGAAAACATTGGGCCAATATTTGTTGAATATGGTCTTTTGGCTAATAGGCTAATAGGGATGAAGAAGAAGCAGAGGGTTTTGCTTCAGTCTTTAATAATACTGATAGACCTTGGGCTGCCTGGTCCTCTCAGTCAGAATGACTTGCCATGTGTGGATGCTGGAATTGTAGGGGACAAGCTGTATCAGCTGGATGTTCACAAGTCCATGGGGTTTGATGGAATACATCCCATCATGTGAGGGAGCTAGTCCTGTTAGGGCAGGACCCTTCTTTATCATCTATCTACCAAAAAGGTCCTGGGAGTTGGGAAGTCCTCGCTGGCTGGAATGTAGCCAATGTTACTCCAGTCCACAAAAAGGGCATGAGGGAAGACTAGGGAACCTGCAGACCTGTTAGTCTAATGTTGGTTGCAGGAAAAATTATGGAGAAGATTCTACATGGTTCTGTTGAAAGTCATCTAAAGAATAATGCAGTCATCTGGCAGTCACATGGATTTACAAAGGCAAAGTCCTGTTTAACTAATTTGGTATCCTTCTATGATTAGGTCACCTGCCTACTGGATGAAGGGAAGGTGGTGGAGGTAGTTTTTCTGGACTTTAGTAAGGCTTTTGATACTGTCTCTGACAGCATCCTTCTGGATAGGTTGGCCAACTGTGGGGACTAAGAAGGTTCACAGTGTGCTTGGTGAAGTAGCTGAAGGGCAGAGGTCCAAAGGTTGTAGTGAATGGGACTGCATTTGGCTGGGAACTGATCACCAGTGGTGTTCCTCAGGGCTCAATTCTAGGGCCAGTTCTGGTTGACAGCAGGCTCAACTGGTTGACAGCAGTGTGCCCTGGCAGCCCAGAGGGCAAACTGCATTCCGGGGTGCATCAAACCAGTATAACCAGTTGGTCAAAAGAGGTGATTATCCTGCTGTATTCAGTGTTGGTGGAGCCTCACTGTGAATCTGGTGTGCAGTTCTGGGCCCTAGAGCTTGAAGGACATAAAGGTCCTTGCATGCGTTTAGAGGAGGGCAGCTGTGGTGGTAATGGGGCTGGAAAGAAGGTACTCTTGAGTACTTTGGGCTTGTTGAGTTTGCAGAAAAGGAGGCTGAGGGGTGATATATTTTCTCTCTACAGCTTTCTGAGGAGGGGAAGTGGAGAGGGTTTAGACATTAGGAAGCTTTTCTTTACGAAGAGGGTGGTCAAACACTGGAAGAGGCTTCCTATAGAAGTGGTCAGTGTCCCAGGCCTGTCACTGTTCAAAAGGCATTTTGACAATGCCCTTAACAACAACAACATGCTTTAAGTTTTGGTCAGCCCTGAATTGGTCATGCAGTTGGACTGGATGATTGTTACGGGTCCCTTCCAATTGAAATTCTGTTCTGTTTTGTTCTTATTTATCTTGTTCCACTTTAAATACAATGTTGGCTATTTAGATGACTATTTTTACTTCTTAGTTTTGAACTTTTAAACTACACCATCCTGACTGTAGATTGCCTGAGTGTGCCAGATTTTAGTGCTTGTACTACCTGGGACTACTGTCTGTAAAACAAAGTTTAGATCAGTGGTATTTTAATAGTTGCATTGAAAGACGATCAAAACGTAAAATTGGCCAAGAGTTTTCCAGGAACTAAATATCATACTTACACATCTAGAATTTGCTTGGAACATTGAAGAGGATTTCAAGCCTGTTCCAGATACCTGGATTCCAGCAAAGGATATAGAGTTTTCTAATGGCAATCCCTTACCTGATGAAAACGGACATATGCCAGGTACTTAAGATGCAGAATGGGTAAAGTAGGTGGGAGGAAATCCATTTTTGAAGTTAATTAGAATTAGTTGTAGAGTAAAAAGTAGTAGTTAACATATTCAGAAAAGAATTGGAATGTCATTCATTCACTGTCTAGAAAGGCTTTGTTCTTCTGACATGAAAATAATTGCAGTTTGCTGTACAGTCTTACAGGGCTTCAGCTGAAGGCATAAGTTGTCCTGTTTGCATTCCTCTGATATTTCTCTGAGATACAACAGAGTTTCTCTTGGTACTCTTTCTGTTCATAGTTAATGGTGTGTATTGTTGTTTTGGTTTTTAATGCATGTACAGTTCTACTACATGTTTGATAACTTCAGGTATTTACTTTGGTAAAATGAAATGTTTTCTCCTAGGTTGGGTGCCTGTGGAAAAAAACAGTAAGCAGTATTGCTGGCACTCATCTGTTGTAAATTATGAGGCTGAAATAGCACTGGTATTGAAACACCATGCTGATCCAGGGCTTCTGGAAATCAGCCCGGTGCCATTATCAGAAATTTTAGAACAAACACTGGAGCTTGTTGGGACTAATATTAATGCAAATCCATATGGTAAGTTTGTATGGTGTTAAATACTTCCCTATTTGGTGATATTTTTGAGTTAAATAGATGCTTTTTTTTTTTTTAGTAAGTTTTCTTTAGAAGTTCCAAGTTAGCAATGTAGTCTTTTTAGAAAGGAGAGAAGGGGCTGGCTCAAAAAAACACTCACCCAGAAACGCTCACCTCAGAAAGCTGAGTTGTCATGAAACTATGTCTGTTAAACCTGTTTTCACCTGCATGTTTTTCAGGAGTTACTAGAAGAATGCTTTGCGTTACGTCTTTAGTTGTTTAAAATGTTACTATTAAAATACTAAAATATTTAAGATTGTTTGTTAGTGTCTTTTCTTGGCTTTTTTTTTCTTGCTCTTTTGATGTTCCTTATTTCATTAAAGCAGAAAATGATTGGTTGGTTGTTTTTTTTTCTTGTAAAGTCATAATTTTTAGTTATAAAATCTTATTAATACTTTTTTAGGGAAATGTAATATAAGCTAAATTTTGGTTGTGGCTTCTCTGTAAAATCCTTACAACAACAAAAATAGGTATGAGCACAATTGATTTCTGAGCGTTGCTGTTAGGGTAACTTGCAAGGACAGATAGGAAAAATAGTAGTGTCTGGTCTAAGCATTTTCTCAGAATGTAAAGAAAATGCAACACAAAAGTTTAACGGCTGTATTCTTAGATGGAGACATATTGAACAGTCAGTGAAGCAGCAATGCAGTTGTTAACAGTCTGGCTTAAGTATTAATCTATATTCATAAGAAAATATAAAAATAAAAGGTTACATAAGGAAGAAACAGCTACATTTGGTACTTAAAAGTACATATTTAACTGTTCCCTTAAAGAGTTCTCTTAACTGTTACAGAATCTAATAAAAGTCTACCTTTAATAGTGCTTTAGATAGCCATAGTAACAAAAGTGAGGAAAATCTTAACACACGTAAGTAGCAGCAGGTTTGTTTGTTTTTTTTCTTAACATAGGATTAGGAAGCAAGAAGCAGCCTGTACATCTTCTTGTGCCACATGGAGCATTTGAAATAAAGAATCCACCCCCTTTGAAACAAAATGACATACTATCTTGGTTTGAAGGCTGCAATGAGGGTAAAGTGGAAGGAATTGTGTGGCACTGCAATGATGGGTGTTTAATCAAGGTAAATATACATGTGGGCATGGGAGAAGCAGTAGCGTAATTCATACTACTTCAAGTGAGGTATTCACTTCTTGTCTCGCTTTCCAAATTCTTTAGTAGTAACGTTCTCCTAGCAAGCGAGATGACAGTAGAATTAGTCAGGACAGTGGATCACTACAGTGACAACATATTAAACTTTTTCATTATTATGCTAATAAAGTAATTGACAACATAATATTTTCTTGCCTCTTGGTATAGGAATCACTCAACATCTTAAAGCTTCATTTCTTTATCTTAAAAATTCCTTTCTTGTAATGTTGACTTATAGAACAAGTATTGCTAATAAGAATGTGGGTTTTGATTAACTGGCAAGTCGTATTCTTTTCTGAAGCTCTGGATGACACCTTGGTTCTAGTTTGTCTTGTGGTTTGCTGTTACTCGTGTTACTCAGATAACTGCTTAATGATTCTAAGTGCCCCAATGCAGAGAATTTTCAAATTAAAGCGCATGCACACCCATACCTCCCTGCAAGTTGGAACTGTTGGGCTACTATATCAAAACCTCTAAACTAATTTTACTTCTTTCTGTTTTAGCTCCATCGCCATCATCTTGGCTTACGCTGGCCACTTGCAGAGACATACCTGAATTCTCAGCCTGTTGTAATTTCTTTTAACAGAGCTAAATATGACTGTGACTTTGAACCAAAGAGTTTGTTTCACCATTTTTCAAACTTGAATGGTCAAAGATTTGACAGACTCCAAGATATCAAGTTTGATGCTTGAAATGATTTTTATGAGCTACATTCCTCTTGTGTCTACCACAGACCTCCTTACAAATAATCTCCTATCTCAGGCAACAGCCTAGGTACTGTATACAATGTTAAGTTTTTCCTAAATGACTGATTTTATGTAACAAGAGATCCAACATCCAAGAGCAGAGACCTAGCTTTTCGCATGTTTATTTTCAGTTCGGAAAAATTCTTAACTTTTGAATCCACTTCTGGAAACTGTTGTAAGTGTCAGAAGCATGCTGTAAAGGATGTATTTCAGGTGGTCCCATAACATTGCATTTTTTATTTTTATTTTTTTCTGAGTTGTAACAGTTTCTTTTGGTGGGAAACTTTTCATTGGTATTTCTTAATTGGTAAGCTGCAGCATTATACTATTACTCAAAAACCTACTCAAGCTATATGCTACTTAACTACGTTTACTATTTTGAGACAAAAAGCGTGAAAGAAAGTAAACTTCTATGTTAGAGATCCTCAGTAATTTGAGACATGACTTGGCTTAATAACACCCATTTTCAGACTGCGTCTCAATTAGGAAACTTCATCAAGGGCATATTAAGAAAGATGACATATAAATAATAAAGGTGAGAGTGCATGATTGTTTTGAGTTGGCTTTATTTTATCTGTGCTGTAAAAATATACATCCAGCTATATAAAATATACAAGATGAAAAGTTATTTAAATACCAAAACACCATTAGATTGGTTGAAATACTACTATAACTTTATTTTCAATTCTTTGTTCTTGGATTTTCTAAATTTTGAGGTAAAAACAGTCAGGGATGTAAGAACAGATAGTCAGCACACTGACCCTGAGTCCACAGTTAAGGATCGTAGCACGAGAGAGCAGAATGAATTACATGTTTTTAGTGATTTGGAACTTGGCAGACTTAGTACATTTTAAGAGTTTCTTGACTTACAGGGTAAGTCCAAGGTTTCAACTTCACTTAACACCTGTGTATTACCCAAATTACTGTTCTAAATTAACATACAGTATTGCAAAGGGGCTGGGAGAAGTAAAACTCATTTTTGACTGATGTATACAAATACTGACCATATTCTGTTGACTAATCCAATTCTGTGCTCTTAGGTATGTGCCAAACTATTGTAACTTTAATAGACTTGTATTATTCCAAGATAAAAACCAGATAAATATTATGAAATTGCCCCAGAATCTATTTACTGTATCCATACTGAGGACACTAAAAACTAGCTTAATCAACAGAAACATTGCCTGGACTATCCCCTTGAATGCCAAACTCTTCAGAAAGCTGCTTTAGTTTCTCTTCTAAGATGATATTTTTTTTAACTTCTTCATTGTAGTTATATTTCAGATCTTCAATTTCTTCAAAAAAGGAAGGGCCATAGTTTTCTAGTTCTCTTCTTAGCTTTTTTGTTTCTTCCTATTAAAAAGAATGAAGGAATACACTACCTTTATCTGGAACTTGAGAAATACATGTCAAGAACTTAAGTGGTAAATGATGAGATGATAATAATAAGCATGTTCTCTAGAGACACAAAAATCTACCCATGAACAACGCATTCACTAACAACAAACTGGGCTTCATAAACATAATGCTAAGAAATTGATTTTGCCATTAAACATTAGATATTAAACAACTCCTCCTAGATAACCACTGTCTCATTGTCTGGCCCAGGATGATATTTGCAACTCACCCTTAATTGCTGTTTCTCCAACTCAGAGGCTTTCAACTGTGTCTGGAGGTCAGCTACTTCCATTAACCTGTCATTTTTATCCTTCTGTAAAATTTCATTCTGTCCTGCAAAAATAATGACAATTTGTTACGAAATTTAAGGTAATGAAAAACAATGATACAAATAATCTTGTCACAGTAATTCTGCATCCTCTGAAATCTGAACAATTTGTAAGAGTGTGTAAACTCAATGGGGATCAACAACCACCAAAAGTTCAAGTCACTTGGGCTTTTCTTTAGTTCTTATACAAATTAAGTGGGTGTGTCTGGCTCCTATAACTGAATGCAGTGCTCCCAGTGCCAATCCTGCATTCAGTTTCTCTGAATAAAATGCAGGAAATTTGGTAATAACATAGTGTAAGGATCTTGTTAACTATATTCATAATTTCAAAAAGCGTTAGTTTTTCTTTTCCCAGTCATATGGCAATGTGGTGCTCTATAGTGCTCTGCTTTTCCCTTGGGAGTCTTAAACTATTCACAGAGCTGGTATCTGGGAAGAGATTAATAGAATTCTATGGCAGCTTCAAATCCAAGGCAAAAGGGGTAAGCAAGAGGATTTCAATGAATGACTGACACCTTACAAGAAGTCTTCTGAGGTTTATAAAGCAAAGCGATGAACTATACATCTTCTCGGAAAGGGAAATCTGACAAATATTACAGCCTCTTGTTCGTAAGATAGTAAAAATCTCCACAATTGGTTAACACCTCTATAAAAACCTTGTGTAACTCACTCCAAAATCCAGGACCTTAATTTGCTCCAGTTTACACTACTCTGTAATTAACATAATTCAGATAATTCTGTAGGTTTATTACCATTTTGCACATACATTTTAACCTATTTTTACTTAAGGCCCCAAATACAGGAGGATCATCATTTTAGTATTGAAAACAATTACCAGCTGCAGAAACTTCACTTGTACATGTGTGCATGTGGTGCTTATACTCTTCCACCTGCTGAGCTAGTTCTGCTTTGTCTTTCTCTAATTGGTTATTAGTTAATCTGGAATATAAAACAATTTTAGAATAATTTTTAAAAACTTAAAATATTTTAGAATAGAAAATATATAAGTAAAAATCGCAGTGGCCATTTCCTGATTATTCTCATGTATATTGGCTGAATTATTTATTTAGTTATTTAAAGAGTACATTACCTTAAAAGCTGAAGCTCCCTGAAAAGGCTTTGCTCTGTCCTTGTACCTTCAGGAAACTGTTTGAGAAGCTCAATCTTTAAAAGAAAAATTAAGAAAGTTTTACTCTTGAAACAGTATCCAGAGATAACACAGTTCAGATGGAGTTCTCTTTGATACTGAATTAGAAAAATGATGAAAATAATACGGAGGACATAACCAAGTACTAGATTATCAGAGTGTTCATCTACTGACAGTTTTCACAAAGCTAATTATCTACAGAGAGGGTGTAGCCTCTTCAAGTGCTTTTCAGTAGAGGATGCAGGAGCAAAAAATCAGAGACTATATATTTGAATGCAGTGACAATTTATGAACTCTCCTAAGGCTACTGCCAGTGATAACTGTTTGTTCTGTTATTAACTAAAATGGTAAGGATTTGTTTGTTGTTGTTTTTTTAACAACAATCAATCTCGTTTCTTTTTATTGTAACTCCCCTTGACAAATCTCTTCATCAGTATTTGAGACACAAAAGAAACTGGGCAGTGTGTTGCTCCAGAGTAGTATCACATAATGAAATGTGTTAATTTTGCTGCTGTTGTACACTTCCTGTTAATAATCATGACTTTAGAAAAGGAAAACCAAGCACAAATTAACAAAATAATTTTTTTATAGCGCTCTATTCCAAGTTCTGTTTATTGAATGCATTTAGTTGCCTACAGAAAATATATGACTTCCTATAGTGGAAGTTGTTTGATATGTTACAACAAGAATGGCCAGTACAAGATGCCTGGGGAACAAAACTCTGCACGTATTAATAAATGAGAGGATGGAAGCTAATCTAGGTGGATAGTCCTAGGGCTACATCTGCAGAGTACTTAAAAGCCAAAATTTGATACATCTTTTCAAAGGTACCAGAGTTTAAAATTTATCAACTCTTCCATGTGTGAAATAATATTTGTATGACTTACTAGGGACTGCATATTCAGAGGCCATATTGGTCATAGGCATGAAGATCCATACCCTTTGTGATGGCAGAGTTAATCAGTCCCCCAAAAAAGACCTGGAATAGGTAAGTTCCTGCAGCAAACTCACCGCTGCAGTGGAACAAGCTAGAAAGATTTTATTTTGAAGCATCTGTACCTAGATGTGATTAATGAAGCTATCATTAAAAAAGACCCAAACAAACCAAGAACAAACACATGAAGAATACAATAGAAAAAAAAATCCCCTAAGACTGCAAGTCAGAAATATATGTTGATAATCTGCAGTAAACCTCATTAATGGCTAAAACATGTAAATGTTCAGTTACAGCAGCCAGGGCTGAAAAAAAACCATAAAAGCATGAATCAGAGAAAAATAACAAACCAAACTCTGCCCATATAGAAATTAGAAATTAATAATAAGCAGTTTATTCTCAGAGGCATCTGGCTAAATTTTACTCACTTGTTCTTTTAGATCTTGTAAGTTTTTATCAGCATTCTGTTCACGTTCTGTTGCTTCCTGCAGCAGCCGTTTAAGGTCAGTAATGCTTTGGGTTTTTTTAGCAATATGCATTTCCATTTCCTTTACCTTCGTTTCGTGCATCCTGGTAGTATTTTTATTTAGAGAAAGATAAGAGCAGAAGCTAATACTTTTGCAGAAATAGAGACTAAAATATCTGTAGGAGATAAAATGCCATAAAATACACTCTAAAATGTGTTTGGGGCATTGGTCTTCAGTGAGCTGGAAGAAGCATAAAGAAAAATGCATTTTTAATCTTAGAATAAAGGCTTTTGCAAGCGTTACACCTTTGTGGATCTTACTTAGTGTCTACTTTATTAAAGGGGGACTGAAATCTTTTTATTCTATTACACGTAAACCCTAAACTACCTCCTGCTAAAAACATGCACATCTGTTATTGATACAGCATGCACATGGGTTGGGTCTTACTTCAGTGTCATATCTTTGATTGATTGAAATAAATTAATGTACTGAGAAAGGGGTAATATAGATACAGAAGATGAAGTCTCCAAAGACAAAACATTCTGCAAGAGCTTCTGTTTACCCTGGAGTAACAGTAGTTGGAAGAGGATTCTGTTTTGATTTGAGCCATAGAAGGCTACAAAAAGGTTTTTGTAGAATCATTGAAATGTTGGCTGGAAGGTACCTCTGGAGATCACAAGGTCCAATCTCCTGTCTAAAGTGGGTTTTCAGATACCGATATGATATACATCTTGCTACCTGCTGAAGAGCCTTCCAAAGGATCACTTGGATCATCCCCCTGTCTGCCCTTCAGACACCTACTGTAACATCCATACTTTGTAAGATTTGCTGGTGGGGTGGACTGCACGCTGAAGTGCCCTGGTGAGTTCCTTTAGGTTAGTAATGTCTTAACCTCAGTCACTTTAAAATCATCTTAAAGTAAACACAAATAAAAGTTTATTCACACCACTTGAAATAGACAAGCACAATTAAGCATAACCATGTATTTTATACCTACCTACCTGTCTACAACTATGTATATCAGCTAAACAGAACTAAGTAGAAATGTTTTCAAACAGGTGGAGAGCTAGAAGAAAAACTAAATTCAAACCACTGAGCTGATACACTAGTTACTAAGGGCCTACCATCTTCACTGCATGTTCCTGTCTTCCTCCTCCAGTGCCTGGCAGCCAATTTTGCTTTCCTTCCTTATGCTAAATATGGCTGTCACTGACCTTGCATAGGGACATTTTACCTCACTACATGGTTAGGGGGAAGGTTAGGAATTTAAAAAAAAAAAAAAGAAGACAGCTTTCTGAAGTCTCAGTGAAGTAAAATGGCTCAGCAGTATGGCAGAGACACGTTAAATCTCCTGCAAGGGATCCTGTGGGACTACAAGACTGGGCATCAGCAGAAAGATTGTTCAACACTGTTATGACCTAGGATGAAATCAGACAAGCCTCTCCTGTCCAGCTGATTTTCTGCCCTAATAATGTGGCTGTCAGAGGTTCTGGTTTTGCAGATATCTTCCACTTCCGTTTACAACTATTAAAGAGTACTTTTGCAACATGTCATCTTATGTCATCCTGACATCATCCATGACTAAGTACTTCTTCCCCAGATTTGCTCCCTTCCATCCTTATGCAGGACACAGGCTGTTCATTTATTTTAATGGCACATGCATTGTTTTGTTTTCATGTCCTTTTCTGAGTTACAGCAGTACATGAGATAATATCCAGTTAAAAATTCTTGCCTCAAGAGAAGTAAAATTCTCATTCCTCTTCTACTTTGATGAATCCACACACAGGTGTATTTCATGTGAATGTATCTTCTATGTTTATTCCGTATCACTCTAGCATGACATATAACTAGCATCTTTGCAGCTCATAACTGACAAAGGGTGTTAACAATAATCGTCTGGGGGTGACTGTTTGCCAAAATAATTACTTTAAAACAAGTGATAGGTAATTTTCAGATAACTTGACTGGTAAAGAGTTACAGACATTTAATACCAAACAAAACATGATTTTTGATGCTGATTTCAAAGTCTGAGTTCTGTCTAAAAATCTGGAAATGGTGGTTTACACACTTCAAATAATATATTGAAAAAGACAATCCAGTGCCAGTCTGTCAGTTTTTCTCCCTTCTACAGATAACAGAACTAGCTGGTTGACTGCAATTAGCCTTCAGAACACAGACAAGGGAGCATCAGCTATGCCTATATGCCCCAAGGAATATAGAAATCCAGTGTGTTTCCTAACACAACCTCTGCACATTCACATGGTTAAAACCTAGATTCAAATCCAGCCAAGCTGGAAAAAGCAGGTTCCTGACTTACAGTTTTTGTTTTAGATTGCGATCCATGCGGTAAGGTACTGGAAAATTTCTAAGCTCAGCAAAAAACGCTGACATTCCACAAAGCACAAATACAATACACTTAACCAGCAAGAAACAAAAAATACTTCTTTTACCAAAACTATCCACAAGCCTACAGCTAATCTGAAGAAGCGAGATAAGTAACTGGCTACTCTGTAGAAGCAGCTGACAGGCCAGTATTTAAGGACACTCAGTCTCTGCTTGACCTTTATACTGATTCTACATACTGATATATAATCAGAAAATAAAATACTGATAATACTAAACTATCTTCAAAAGAAGAAAGAAATTATGAAAATTCAAGCCTAATTTGTTTGCTAATATCTAAAGAGAAATTATCTTCCTTACTTCATTCTCAATTCCTACCTTGTTACAGTGGACTTCCAGCTTTTGCTGTCAGCGCCGTCAATTTGGCTCTCAGCCAAATTTAGCCTCTTAATGGTTTCCTCCAGCTGTACTGTTAACTTCTCATTTAATATCTCCAAGTTATTCTTTGCTATTCGTAGCTTCTCTCCATTGTCAGCTTCCTATTTTTCAATAAAAACAAAAGTTTATGGAATACTTAACCTAACAAAGCTGAGGATTATCTGAAGTGACGGTGAGATAGGGTCAGTGCTGATTTAGAGGAAAACTACCTACAAGATCGCTACTGCTATAACTTCCAAATTCTGTCTTTGGCTGCTCCCTGGATGTCTCTCCTCCATGTATAATTAAAAATTCTATCATAGCAATATCAGTTCTTAGAAAAGTGTCCATATCAACCATTAAGAAGTATATATAAAAATATACTTACTACAACCAGTAACTAATGGAAATCATACCTTTTTCAGTTCTTTACGCAGCCTCTCGTTTTCAGTAATGACTTTTTCCATTCCTTTGGTTTTAGAGTCATGATGCATACCCAGCTGGTCCCCCACATGAAGTTTCATCTTTTCCATTTCAGACTAAATATCAAACAGTTTCTTAAAATACATACACATTGCTTAGTAGAAAATTTCAGATCTCCATTTTTAAAGTATGGCATAGTGACAGCTACCTAGCACAATGAACATAACATTTAATCGTGTATTTAAATATATCCTTAAGGCACAGAGTGCCATTACATAAAAGATGCAGTATGTTATACTACAATGAAGTTCTGCTTTTCTATTCTACAGCTTTCATATTTGGTATTTTTAAACCACTTTTCTGCCAATCAATACCAGTAACAGGCTTGCTGTTCCATTTTCTTACTAACTTGCATGCCAACTGGCTATCTGAATATAGTTGCTGGAGAGATATCAGTACCTTTAGCTTCTCATTTTCCTGTTCAAGACCAAGTAATTTCTCATTAGAAACCACAGCTGGAGTTTTTTTCAGATCCTCATTTTCTCTTTGGACTCTCTCTACAACCTTTTTCATCAAACCAATTGTTTTTTCCAATTCTGCAACTGTCTTTCCACTTCTACCAGCCTATAGAGAGGAAAGAAAAAAGTCAAAGGAAGTAAACAGTTCATCTTAACATTCTGAGATACTCCAAATCTTATCACTTATTTCCCCACTGCAACGTCTACTTATAAAAAAGATGTTATATTTTGGTGTGAGTTGAACCCTGAAGTTTCTTGCATACTTAGCTCCTCAAAGACAGCAATTCCTTCATTTTCTGTGTTAAGAAAGCTGCAGTTAGTCTCAAAATCTGCTGTGCTTATGAACTAGACTGAAACATCAGCAAAATACATTAAAGTACTACTTTATTTTTTAGCTTTCTTGTAGAGCAATTCCCTTATCCAACAGACCATGCAACTGCTTCAATGCTAATACTGTCTGAAGGAAAAAAACAACTGCTGGATTAAAGTGACAAGAATAACTACGTCTTAAAGCATAAGTAAATCTCCCTTTTCCCAAGGCATATATTCTTGCAGAGTGATAAATAAATAAATAAGGGGGGGAGAGAAGCTTGTAATTTCTTCATTTTTCTTCTTTCACTATGTTCCTTTCTGAGGTAGGAAAGTTCATAAAAGGTCTTCACATGCATTTATTTTCTCATCATCTTTGTAGTGACTGCTTTCCTCAGCTGTTTCTTGTTCTGGGCCCAAGTATCTCCTTTTCTTTCTATGGAGGTAACGAGCACAGTATTGTGCAAATCAGGGAGAATTCTAGTCCCTGGAGTAAAACATACACAGCAAAGTTCTGGAAGTAAAAATGACCTTTCTTCTCTAAAATAACTAGCGATTAGGAGGTTTGTGTTGGTACACAATGGAGTTAAAGAAAAACCTGTCAGATCTTGGTGCCTGAAAAGGGAGGAAGACTTAGAATCTGCTCAGACCCTATGCATGAAATACTTCTATAAACGGAATTTGCTTATCCAAAAATGACCACTGTATAAGAGATAAGCAGATACACAAGCAGTCCATGCAAAGTACAAGTAGAAGAATGAGAACTGTACAATCTTTTTCAGGTACCCAGAAGTAGTACTCAATTGTCCTTGTATACTGAAAGAGCTACAAAGGCACTGAAGAGATTTTACTGTCAGCTTCCTTTTAAAGGTCATACAAATAGTTTGGCAAGTTAGTGGCAAGAGAGATACTGGGAACTGCTGAAGCATTTTTTTCCTGATTTCTGAAGTACTGCTCTATTAAAGTAGTTGACAAGAGCGAAGGTAAAATTTAATCTCATCATCTTGCATAATACATCAAACAAAACACTAACAATAACTTAGGCTTTCTAACATCTGCATCAAATTAAAATCCTGTTTTAAATAAAAAAGCTGTAATGGTATTATGCACTTACATAAATACATTAATATAATTTTCAATATTAGGGCTTTAACTCCTATTTTTTTGTACAAATATGATTCCGAAGATAACTTTAATCCAAAAATCAAAATAAGGCCATGACAGTGCAACTATTTAATAGTGTAGCTCTAGTCCTTCTAATGGTCCCATTACCTGAATTTCATTGATTATTTTAACACTTTGGCAATAAAATAAACAAGTAAGGGGAATCCCTCTTTGCTTTTGGTTGATTCCAAATAATTTAGCTTTAATAAAACATTGCTTTTTTTTTTGTATTTCGGTTTTATTTAGTTATGATGAAAAAAGCTGTTACAATACTCACGCCTCTAACACTGCCCAGCTTTCGTTCAACATCTGCTTTCTCTTTCTTGAGAAGTTCACACATTTCTTTCAAGTCACCTACTTGGTCCTATAAAAAACAAAGTAACAAGCAAGTTATTTAGATTTCAAACTGAGGTGAACATTAACAAAATTACGGTTGGTTTACTTAAAAAAAAACTCGTGTAAAGAGAAATCAATTTCCCATGGCAATGGCACTTCTTATCATCTCTACCAGCTATTCAACCTTCTCATCTTCCATAAAACCATAAAAAACTTAACATTATGTACAGGAAAGATACACATTTCTTTCTAAGCAATCCTCTTACTTTATTCAGGGCAAAGGGGACTAAAGGTAAAAAGATGTTACCTTTAGTCTTGGCAAATCTTTATTGGCTTGCTCTAGCTGGAACCTTAGTTCAATGTTTTCAGATGACAATCTTAAATTTTCCTTTATAACTTCTTGTTCTCTTTGGTGTTGATCATCTGATCCCATTCCTGACGTCTTGAGGAAACAGGGAAAAAAAGTGGTAATGCACTAGTCATCGTATCAGTTGTAGCTGATAAAAAGCAACAGAGAACTGTTTTTCACAGAAATAAAATAAATGACAGTTGTATTTTGATCTAATTTGCTCTGACTTTAACTCCTTCTCTCACATCTTCTAAACCTGCTTAACCTTTAAGGGAAGTTTACAAATCAGTGTAAAGCAGTAAAAATTTTGTGAAACCAAAATTAACTCTCAGACTACTGGGAAGAAATAAATGTCAAAGTCTAAAAGACAGAAAAGCTACTGAGTTTAGTAAGCTATGACACTACCTAGGAACAGCATCTAATTCTAAGGATATATTCTGACACATTTATTAAATAGTACATATAGCATAAGGAATTTCACTTAAACAGGTCATAGAGCAAGTCAGGAAGCACAGTACATTACTAGTTTTTAGTCTCTAAATTCCTACAATCTTAAATCTTTATTTAGGGAGGCTAGTAATTTCTGTTACATAAAGCGTGTTTTCCATGCCTTACATTGCCAATTCAAATCAAAAGTATATGTAAATTATTACACCAGGCTAGTAAAGAGTGAAAGTTTTTGATGGTATGATAATCAGCAGGTTTTGCTCATATAATTATGGAGTTAATTAACCATATTATCAATTAATCAATAATAATACTAGGAACAAAGTATATGGTTAATTAAAGCATTTTTTTTTCTTACTGCATGTAATAATACATCGTAAGTCTTTTAAAGAATGAAGGTCATCAAGTAGCTGCGGGTATCACCAGTGTCATCTGCAAACTTGCTGTACCAAAATTTTAGAGTTGACAGTAGTTTACACGAGAGCTGTAAACTAAGGTTTACAGCTTAAACTGTAAGGTTTAAGGTTTCCTTTATGGATCCATTGGTGACTACTTTAATATCCCTGCAGAGGATGCACAGGAAAGCACTCCATTATCTAGATCAAACAATTCTATTTCTACATAATTTATACAGAAGAAATGCTAGTGGACTGCTAGAATATCAGACCTCAGGCATTTCACAAAGTTCTGCGGTTGTTTCAAGCCCCTCTGTACCACTTTGGGAAGTTTCATGTTTATCCTCTGCAATGCCTTCATTCACTTCATTATTCACATTTACTTTTAATGCTTCATAGTCATTAGCCTGATTAGAAGGCTCCCCTGGATAAGACAGATTGCAGCTCATTCTGTTAGTATCAGGCTCTTCTACACTTTCATCACCAGCAGCATTTGATTGCTTGAGTATTTCTTGTTTCCTCTCCTCTTCAAATTCCTCATTAAGTTTTCCATTTTCAGGTTGGGTTATATTTTCTCCTTTTTCACTGCAGTTCTCTTCATCAGCTTCATCTGTATTTTTGTTTTTCAACCCTTCCCTAGAAATATCTGTGCCCTTGCATTTCCCACTATCTTCGGGATGCTGTTCAGGAGACGCTTCTGTGCTTGCATCCGTAGTAGCCTCATGCCCTTCATTAGGTATGATGCATGTTTGCATGTCTGCTTCCTTATCTATTTCATTGTTATTAGTAATGCTGTGATTAGCCAGATGTTTGATTTCATTCCTACTTGCAACAGATTGCTTTTGAAGGGGATTCAAATACTTTTGTTTACTGATACTGACAGGAACAGACTCGGACAGTTTAGTTTGGTCACCTGTACTCTGATGTAAGTTGAAGATAGAATGAAGCATGAAAGAAAGCAGAAGACAATAAAACAAATCAGGAAATAAAGAAACCTAGAATGTACTGGTAAAGCTACTTCTTGAAGACTACAGTACCCTAATAATGCAATATTTGCAATATAATGAACCTTGTAAAAATCAAAACACAACAAAAACGCGTAACTGAAATGCACCTCAGTACTTCCCCAAACTCTGTATCCCAAATTTTCAATCAATATGGAACATGAAAATAGTCTCTCAGTTGCAGACTCACATATTTAAAAAATACATATCCCTTATTTCTCCACATATGCTAGGATGCTGAATATTTCAACTTCTAAATGTAGAACACAGAAACTGTAAGTTTTGGGGTCTGGGGATGGGGTTGTTTTGTTGTGTTTTATAAAACGCTAAAAACTAAGCATTTCACATCCTATTCTAGAATGCTATAATTTTAAATAAAAACAGCTAAATGACACAGAATACCAAATGGATAGCAAATATTTTTGTTAAATAGGTGCAATTCTTCTAGGTAATATGGTTACAATATTAACTTACTGATGGTCTAGAATACGCCTGTCTTGAATATTGTTTCTGCAAAGCATGAAGCTTTTCCTGGAGGTACTGATTTTTGAAATGTAATTCTTCTACAACAGAATCTCGTGGGATTGCTTGCTGTGTTCTACATCAAAAAAAGAATCAAGCCAAAATAAACAAATGGTCATTAATGCAGAAAATCAGCCCTTAAAGTAAAAATCCCCATGAACTTCTGGATTTCTAGATTGGATTTTCTAGGATTACTGGGCTAGTTATTCTAAAGCAATGCTAGCCGTATACACTATTTCAAATAATCCCCATGAATCAAAAGTAAGTACTTTGGCAAAAGGAATCTGCTCTTTTGAGGTGCGTACAGCTTTTATTACTCAGGTCCACTATCCACTGTGATAGTTGAAACACTGAAAAAGAATACAGTCCGTAACTGCAACTTAGCAGTTCCCATAACTTTCAAACCCTCTAAACTGTAATTGTAATTTTCCACAATACAAACCAGATATTTTTCATATTATTTACCTGTTTAGAATAATGAACCAATGCTGCATATTTTCTGAACATGCACATTTGCTCCAAAGTAGATTTTAAGTTTGCTCATCAGAGACGCAAAGAAAGATTTTTGAAATTCCCATCAATTATTTCTTGCCCTTAGTGAATCAGTTGGTCTAACACAGACTACCTCCTTCCACAGATATTTTTTCTCATGTAGATTTTTTAGTTTTCATAGATTCTTTTGTAATGCCTCTCACCTCATGTGAGCAACTTCATTTTCTAAATCTAGATTCCGTTTTCTTAGTTCTTCCAGTCCCTTTTCAGTCTCTAAGGCTCTTACTCCAACAACACGGTCAACAGTGACACCAGTAGTTTTCAGTTTCTTCTGTAAAGTAATTTTCTCTTTTTCAGTCCTGCAACATCCAGTAACTACATTTAAAACGTTATTGGATAACATTTGCTTTAGGAGAATGTATTTTCTGCCTCAAAGAATCCACATTTGCAACATATTTGCTCACTGAACCACACCCCCTTGTCTGCTTAATAAGGTTATCTTATAGACAGTACAGCTTCACGAAAAAAACCACTCCAAAACCAAACATGGAAGAAGCAATGAACATTAAGTCAGTCTCATGCATATCATAAACCACTTGCTGCTTTGCCCATCTTTTATGTGAAATTCATACAAGACTGCGGAGAATAAATGCCATCTTGAAGCAGTTTCAAACCAAACCTAACAAGAGCTACAATAACCATGACAGTTTCTGGTCTCTTCTGCATCTTTTATCAGTAAATCCCTGCCACTACTGTACTGAAGTAAACATAACATTTGCGGAGAGTTTGCACGTGTAATTTTTTTTAAAGGCTTCCAACTCATAATCGTAGAACCGTAAGTACTGCAGTAGCACTACACATAGCAGTAGCAGTGTCCAACCCTACTAATCTAAGAAACAGCCTCTCTTCATAAAGCTGTTTTTGTTTCACGGGCAGAACAGAATATTACATGCAAGAAGCATAACCATGGAATCATAGAATAGTTAGGGTTGGAAAGGACCTTAAGATCATCAAGTTCCAGCCCCCCTGCCATGGGCAGGGACACCTCACACTAAACCATATTACCCAAGACTCTGTCCAGGCTGGCCTTGAACACCGGCAGGTATGGAGCATTCACAACCAACCTGGGCAACCTATTCCAGTGCCTCACCACCCTCACAGTGAAGAACTTCTTCCTTATATCCAATCTAAACTCCTCCTGTTTAAGTTTTAACCCATTACCCCTTGTCCTATCACTACAGTCCCTAATAAAGAGTACCTCCCCAGCATCCCTATATGCCCCCTTCAAATACTGGAAGGCTGCTATGAGGTCTCCACACAGCCTTCTCTTCTCCAGGCTGAACAGCCCCAACTTTCTCAGCCTGTCTTCATACGGAAGGTGCTCCAGTCCCCTGATCATCCTTGTGGCCCTCCTCTGGACTTGTTCCAACAGTTCCATGTCCTATGTTGAGGACACCAGAACTGCACACAATACTCTAATTGAAGTCTCACGAGAGCAGAGTAAAGGGGCGGGATCATCTCCTTCGACCTGCTGGTCACTCTCCTTTTGATGGACTTTAGTTTTATTCATGGACAGTTTCTTCTAATAAAGGTTTTGGCTTCCACAAGGGAAAAGGTACTAGAATAATATCCTGCTTCTTAAAAAGTAACTAATCCTTTTAATCTCAATAGCAATGTCAAATTCTATACATCAATCTTATAAACATTATGAACTGTTCCAATTTTTATGTGACAAACACTTGGATTTCCCTTATGTCATAATTTCGTAACAGTCTATAAAACCAACTCACTTGGTGTAAATTTCCTTCAATGTATTCAACTGTTTGACTAAAGCATCTGCTTCTTTTTCCTTTTCCCTTAGCTTGTTCCGCAATCCTTCTGTTCTGATTTGCCATTTTTTATTTTCTTCCCATTTAAGTATTTCCTCCTTGGATGTCTGTGAGGAACATAATCAAATTATGTATTTCTTTTTTTTTTTTTCTTAAAGCAAAAATGTTAAAAAGCTAAAAATGGTATATTCTTCATTTATCAGTTTAAAACATGAAGCCATAGCAGGCACATATTATTAACCTCATCTATCAAAAGGTAAATAGCAGTATGCTGTGGTGACTGGTGTAGTTCAATGTATCCTTTTACTCAGAATTACATGTTAGTAAAGTGACAGATTAAAGAAGTGTTTTTCTATGCCAATTTACAGCAGATCTGCAGCTCACCAGGATTTTATATGCCCTTCCTGCACAGCTGTACAACTGGTTATCTTAGTGTATTTTTTCCTATGAGAAATGGAATCTCTACTTACAATTCAGTAGCTGTAAATTATACATCAGATAAAACCTGTACCTATGTGATCACAAATGGCTACTGAAAACAGGTCAATACAGTTAATATTTCTGTAAGCAATTTGTTTTTTTTTAAACTTGTCTTTTTCTTTCTTCAGTACCCCTGTACTTGCTTTTCTGTCTTCTTTCTGAACAGTCACTGCTACTAAGGGACAGATAGAAAGCGGAATCTTGGAAAAAGGAAAATACATGCAAAGTCTGAGAAAAGTATCTCTAGATACTAAGCAAAAGGTATTTGAAAAGACTAATTAATTGAAGTGTAAGTGTAGTCATCAAATAATGTTTAATATCATAAATGTCATAAATAATCTGAATGCATCCTATAATATTCCTGTATACTTTATAATTACTATGGTAAGCCACTAATCCCTTTTAGGATTCACACTTCTGCTCCTAAATACTTCATGTTTTATCACAGCATTAATTTCACAAATGCACATGTGACGGCACTTATGTAATGAATTTCACTGCTACCTATAAATCTTAGTTTTCTAAGATTTGTAATGGATCTTCAGTTCTACAAGGGCAGAAAAACATTAATATACCAGTACTAAGCAACAAGAGCAGTAAAAACAAAGAGCATGGAAAACATGGAGAAGTTACAGTCATGAAACTACTTTTCTCCATATAAATTTTGGTTGGGGATTTTTGAGAGGCAGGTAGGGTTGAACTGCCTAGACTTCACTGATGATGTCTTTCAAAGCCACGATCCAAATACCACATACCTTGTCTTCTCTTACACCTTTTTTGTCTGTTTCTTCACACTTCTTCTCAAGTTCATTTTCCAACTTCTTTATTTTTTTCTGAAGTGCATCTATCAGGTTTTGCTCATCAGCTTTGCTCTGAAAAATTACATTTTTACAAACTTCAGTTTTAATGACCTGGACAGGCTGGAGGGTTGGGCGGGGAATAACTTGATGAAATATAACAAGGGAAAGTGTAGAGTCCTGCATCTGGGCAGGAACAACCCCAGGTTCCAGTATAGATTGGGGAACGACCTGTTAGAGAGCAGTGTAGGGGAGAGGGACTTGGGGGTCCTGGTGGACGACAGGGTGACCATGAGCCGACACTGTGCCCTTGTGGCCAAGAAGGCCAATGGCATCCTGGGGTGTATTAGAAGGGGGGTGGTTAGTAGGTCGAGAGAGGTTCTCCTTCCCCTCTACTCGGCCCTGGTGAGACCTCATCTGGAATATTGTGTCCAGTTCTGGGCCCCTCAGTTTAAGAAGGACAGGGACCTGCTGGAGAGAGTCCAGCGCAGGGCAACTAAGATGATTAAGGGAGTGGAGCATCTCCCTTATGAGGAAAGACTGAGGGAGCTGGGTCTCTATAGTTTGGAGAAGAGGAGATTGAGGGGTGACCTTATTAGTGTATATAAATATATAAAGGGGGAGTGTCATGAGGATGGAGCCAGGCTCTTCTCAGTGGCAAACAATGAAAGGACAAGGGGAAATGGGTACAAATTGGAACAGAAGAGGTTCCACTTAAACCTGAGAAGAAACTTCTTCTCAGTGAGGGTGACGGAACACTGGAGCAGGCTGCCCAGGGAGGTTGTGGAATCTCCTTCTTTGGAGACATTCAAGACCCGCCTGGACATGTTCCCGTGTAACCTTATCTAGGTGTTCCTGCTCCGGCAGGGGGATTGGACTAGATGATCTTTTGAGGTCCCTTCCAATCTCTAACATACTGTGATACTGTGATACTGTGATACTTACCTGTTTTCTCCACTCAAAAAACAAGGACTTTTAACTGCAATTGGCAGAGTTAGTTTACAACCTAAATGTTCTTTTTAAAATTATCTTTAAATTATTAAAGTATTGGAATGTAACTTTCCATTCTAAACTGAGTAATCAGCAACAAGTAGCTGAATTTAAAAAAGTAAGTTAGATGATTCTACTATATATTCTTCACTTTTCTTCTGAAAGGGGAAATAAGAAAAGGAAAATCACAAAATTCCATTTCTGAAAGAAGTCTTGAAAGTGGTGATTCAACTCCTCAGACTCTTTCAAACATTTCAAGAAGCAAGTATTCTTCAGTCTCTTTCTTCCTTTCATTTGAAAAATGCTTCAAACAGCAAAAGCTAACAGCTCACATGTAACCCAGCTGATGAGCAAAAGTAACATTTCAAATCCAGTATGTCTCAATGCCTGCCAAAAATACTCAGTCTTATCCCCAAACCCAGCACATCTGCGCAGAAACTTGACCAAGATCGAACATATTTTTAAAAATCACTTCTACCTGAATGTTACTGCTTATCCTCTTAACCTGTTTCTTCAGTTCTTCATTTTCTTCTTCCAATTCATTTTTTTCTTTCAACATTTTAGCAAATGCTTTTTGTTTTCTCAGAAGTTCTTGGTTCAATTCATTTCTTTCATCAGACAAGGAAGTTTCCCTGGTTTTACTTGTTTTAAGGTTATCTGTAAGTTTTGTAATCTGAATATTTAATTCTTCTATCTGTGTCTAGAAGAAAACAAAAGAGCAAACCCCTCAAATCAGGATTATCAGTAATACAACAATTCAATACAATGATATTACCTAGTACTCACCGTAAACCCCTTTGTTTGTCTGTCAACAATCTCCTGGACATTCATATATGACTCTTTTTGTGATGCAGCAGAAATAATCTGCTGTTCAGCATTAGCAGTCATTTCTGCTCTGAGTTCCAGAATTGCTTTACTCAAAGCCTGAAAACAGTAAATTCAAGTTCCTTTAAGTAAAGAAGTTGCTAATATGAACATTACAAAACAAGAAAAGGCAACTGGATTTTACTATGTTATGTTATGCAGTTATATTCTCCCACTGTACTATACACAGGATTCTTAAGCACTAAGCAACATTACACATTTATGTGACATAGGGATTAATTTTTATTGACTAACTTTCTGCTGCTTCTCTTTTATGGCTAACTGGCTCTTCAGCTGCTCCACCAGATTCTTCAGTGTTGCTGTGGGTGCTCTATTATTTGCTTCTTTTTGGACCTCTAGTTCAGCTTTTACATTTGCAAATTTCTTCTCCATCTGAGATACCGTGTTCCTCAAGACATTTGCCTCATCTGTTAGTTGTTCGACCTCAGCTTTGTGTTTTTCATGAAGCCTAATAAAAAATAAGCATTAATAGAGTACATTGCAGTAATAAAGTTAGCAATTAGTAATTAAGTAAGAACAATTTTTTTATCATTGTTAAAGCAAATGACACATTGATTTGGAAATAACAAGAAAGGACTCACTAAAGCAGGCCTCCATTTAATAAGAAAATCACTCAAGAAGATCACGAAAATAAGGTTAGAGCATTGTTCATTCTCATTTCTGGCCTTTAGATGTAAAGAAAGCATTATCGTTTCTCCTTTAAAACAGCGGTTAAATTTTCATTACTTTAAACTTGTTAGGTTAATTTTTCCCTATCAGGGGAAAAAAACCCCAAACAAAACACAAAAAAACTGCACCGAAACATAAATCAGAAGTATCACAATAGCTTAAAGGCAACTCTGATACCAAGACTCCTTGGATACTTTCTTTTCCACTGAATGCCAAAGCTAACAACTGAAAGGCATTTTTCCAAGCCAGTTTTTCAAATTAGCCCCAGCGAAAGGCTACAGATAAAAATAACTTGCAGCTATCAACCATAGTAACTCTTTTGGGTTAGCTTTTTCAGCCAAATGTTAAATTCAACAAAAACATGTTCACTTTTAGATCTGTCCTGTAGCAGCAATACATAATTTACTTGTCCAATCCAGTTGTGACTTACATTAACCCAGTCTAAAAACTTACTGGTCTCTGATAATCTCAAACTCTTTGATATTCATTGAAGTGATTTGTTTTTGTTTCTCCAAATCAAATGATGTTTTCTTTAACTTTCCAACAAGCGAAGCAATAAGATTATCCTGTTCTGCTACAGCTTGCTCCATTTCAGCTAAGCGGAGAAAATGTTTGTTGTTGGAAAGTGATGAAGTCTTTTTTGCTAAATCCTGTAAAAGAGAACAAATGCATGTGGTAACATTTTAAGCTTTAAATCAAAGCTAAGCATTACTGATGCATTTTAAACTCATCCCTGAATACATTCAAGCATTACTATCCAATGTATTTATTTACTGAAATGTGTTTCTTAGTCCACAGAGAAAGCAGTCACTCTGGTTTGAAAAGAGCTTTGTGTGTCTAATGATCCTCAGAATAACCAGTTAAATACAGGTTTCACTGTATCATAAAGAGTCAAGAAAAAATTTGTATTGAAATGGTTAGTTTAATATAAGAACAGACTGAAGAGACAAATAATATACTTCTCTCTCCTAGAAGTCTCCATAAATTAGGCTGATACGAAAAATACTCATATATACTGAGGTGGCAACTTATTTTACACTTCATTTCTAAGCCATTTCTCATGAACTTTCTCAAGAATACTATAGTAATTCTGTATCCACCACCCATTTATTTCTCCTGTCATCATTCATTACTTACTTTTGACTGCAAAAGTGTTCTTTTAGTCAACAATTTTAAAAATTTGGGAACAGTTTATTGATCACACTTACCAAAGCAGTCTGTTTGAATTTATTAAGGGAATTGTCAGCATGCAAATTTAACTTCTGGTGTAGAACTTTAAGATCTTCCTCATGCTTCTTTGCTATTTCTTCTTGTTCCTGTTTGTTCAAAATAAAAGTATAACTCACTGATGTACAGTATTCCAGAAAGCCATGAAACTACAGTACCTTCACATTCATTCATCACTCATCGTTCAGTATCATTCCCCAAATCTTCCTTTAATTCTGTCAGTTTTAAAAATTATTTTCTTCTTGCTATAATCACAGAATCATAGAATAGTTAGGGTTGGAAAGGACCTTAAGATCATCTAGTTCCAACCCCCCCTGCCATGGGCAGGGACACCTCACACTAAACCATGTCACCCAAGGCTTTGTCCAACCTGGCCTTGAACACCACCAGGGATGGAGCATTCACAGCTTCTTCGGGCAACCCATTCTAGTGCCTCACCACCCTCACGGTAAAGAACTTCTTCAACAAAGTAATAAGTAGTATGGTGCAACAGGACAGGAGCTGGAGAGCAAACCAGCTGGTGTTGGTCTTCACCAACTATGAATATCACTACTGATAGTGATATCCATATTACATACTTCTCCATTCTATTTACTTTGGAATACAGTATGATCCCATGGATTGTATGTCTGCTAACAGAGAGAGCACTCATTTTTAGACTGCATCTTCTGGTTTAGTTTGAAACAAAAAAAAACTTTGTTTCCCCCAGAAGTAATAGCTAACACATGTTAACCAAAGCACATTAAGTGAAGATGATGCTAAGTCTGCTTTGTAAGTGACACAAGTGTGACACAAGGTTTATGCTTTAAGGATATAAAGTATGCTTAGATACATTGTTTATGCTTTTAAATATGCTTTAATTTAAAGTATGCTTTAAAAAGCATATTTGCCATAAGTGATGTCTTTCGTGTACCTTCAAAATTCACTACAAGATGCAGTCCAGAGATCATTGTTGCAAGTACTGGAAAATTTCATATAACAATGCAGTAAGTAAACATATGGAAACCACTTCTCACAGCAGCATTTTAGTTTTCTTCCTGTCACACTGATTTAATTCCTACACAGACATCATATACATAATGTCCTGACTGAGCAAGCCTCCTATTTTAAGAAGCTAAAAAATTCTACATGAATTTTCTACATAGGAAGTTACAAATTGTTTCTGCTCTGTTACCTCTGAGGTCAGAAACTTTTTAAGATTTCAGTAGCAATGAGATAAATGAAGAATCAACTAAAATAGCATAAAAATAGAAGAAATTTTGTGCGAACATTTTACGTACCTCTCTTGCTTTAGCAAGCCAATGTTGGTATTTTTTTAACACTTCCTCCTTTTGATTTAATCTTGCTTGCATATTTGCAATGGTTTGATGAGCAATTTTTATGGCATGACAGTACTCTGGATCATCTTGTTTGCCTGACTCAGCCACTATTTTCTCTCTTTCTGATGGTGCAGATAATCGAAGTCTTAGTTCATTTATAACTTTGTCTCTTGATAAAACATTTTGTTCAGCTTTCCACAGAGCAGTTTCCTTTTCTTTTAATTTCTACAATGAAAGGCAATTGTTGCATTTCCATAATTCAAACACAGCAAAAAGATCTTACTTTTTAAAAAAATTACCAGAAGATTCATCTAACACAAAATATTTTGCACTCAGTTCTGGCTGCATGGGATTACTATTAGATTTTAAAAGCCCCAGAATGTAATTACTGTGCCTTTATGTGTTATCTACTTGGCACAAGACCCTTTGCAACTCATTCTGTGCTACCAAATTAAGCTGGTGTTTTTCAAATTTCTTAAGAACCACAAAGTATCTTCTGTAATAGAATTTCAGTTTAGCAACCCATGATAAACAGATTTTTCTTTGCTACTTCTTATATCTAATGTAACACTTGTTAAATTGAATTAATAATTTGTTCCATTGGAAAAAATGTTTCAGTTTGGTCACGATGTGATTTACCTTTTCTCAGTGTTAAATATTTTTAAGGGACGGGACACATCCAAGTGACATTTATAAAAGGATATTTATTATACACAAAAAATTAAAGGGCACAGAAATACAAACTTGTCCCTCTTTATGATAAACATTTAATTACCTCCTCCAGTGATTTGCAGGTTTTCCTGGTTTCCACGATTGTTCGAATATGCTCTTGTATTTTTCTCAAAGCCAACTCAAGCTGCTGTGGAAGTGGTAAACTAGAGTCTGGAACTGACCCAGTAGCCTCTTCTAACTGTACAGAAATATTAACATTTGTGTAATCTGAGAGCTCTGCAAAACATGCTTCTAAGTATATTTTTAGCTAATTCACTGCAATTACCTTTACAGCTGTATTACGTGTTTCATTTTGTTGATGATCATACAGGTCTAATTGGCGCAGCAGTTCTACTTCTCTCTGGTCCCAAGCCATTTGCCTTTCTTCATGAAACTAACAAATGTTTGATAAGGTGTTTTATTTAGTGAAGATGATGGGAATTTTATAACTCAAACAGGAAAAAAAAGAGATACCAAAATGTAAAATACTTAAGTGTGCCATTAAAAAAGAATTAATGTAGCTAAGATACAAGCATAGGCTAAAAACTTACTAGGAAGAATCTTTCTTTTTTAAAATCTTAGTAAAATAAGGAATATGCTGTTTTTCTAATAGCATACAGAAATACATACCTTGTTTTGCTGTACAATTTCTTCTTCCAGGTTACTGACTGTACGTTCATATTCAGAAATTATATTCTGCAAATGCTTCACCTCTTCCTTTTGCCTGATTAACTCTCGATTGAGTTTAAGTTCCTGCAGATGGAGTTCCTCCATTTTCATATGCCATTCAATTACCTAATAATGAATAATACATAGTATTATAATTTACCAAGCCCACAGGACAATTAGATGCAGTTACACTCTTTGACTTTGAAGCAGTTATGTCACTGATCAAACCAACAGGAAGACATTCTGCCTTTTTAAACTTCTTCCCTTCTCTTGAGTGAGTAGGCACAGAATGCCTAAAAAGTGCAGGAGACAACAGGAGAAGCAACAGGTTTCCCATACACTGACATAAATGTATTACAAATAATTTTCAAATTAACTAAGGTAGACCCTGTCCTGGCTGAACAAAAAAAGCATGCAAGAAGTTTGGTTGACTTCTAAAACAGCACAAGATTTTCAAAACCCTTAAAACTGGAAGTATTCAAAAATGCAAATGTGCTAAGAGTACCAATCATACTCATGTCAAAATGCTCTAGAAGATTCGTTGAAAACTGGCTTAAACATGCCAAGAGCACTACAACCATTGCTTACATGCAGACATCTTTAGCCATGACAAACATAACCGTATTATATAATATACAGAAGAATGAGAAAGCCTTAATCAAATTTCAAGGCAACTTTGTTTACAATAGCAAAATATTATGAAGTAGAACTAAAAGAGTATAACAACATTTCTGACCATGCTGCCTAATTACTGCCTGTGGATTTATTTAATAAGATATGGATTTGTAGAGAAGATTTCAGTGCAAGCTCATGGTACAGAGCTTCAGAATGCTACTCTTGAGTTTAATTTAATTTTATTCATAATTTAATTTGATTCCTAATTTAATTCAATTTAATATAAGTGCTTTCATAGTTAGCCTCTACTTTCTTTGCCACTTAATTGGGCACAAAAGAAAATTAGTAAATCTCACTGTGCCAACTTTAACAGGGTAAATGAGTAATGATGTATTACTTTAAAAAAAAAAAACAAAAAAGTGATAGCTGTCATATTCTAACAAAGTGTATTTTGAAATCATTAATTTCTATATTAAACTAGATGTTTAGGTAACAAGCTGAACTGAAATGCAATTGAAATGCAGATCAAATGAACAAAGTTATTCAAAGTTGTAAAACAGCAAACCTTTTGAGCTCCTCTTGTGTCCTTCAAGGCACTTATTAATTCTTCTAAACTTTTCAGTTTTAACTCCATCTCTAATGCTCTGTTTTCGGCATTTCGACGCTCCTCCTGAGCGTGCTGAACTTCCTCCAGGATCTTCAGTTTGTCACTCTGTAGCTGAATCATCGTTTTAGAGAATTTTTCTTGCTGTGCTAAAGGCAGAGCACCACTAAACTGTCGACGCAAAGACTGAACTGTCTGTTGTAGATGTTTGGTTCTATTTCTTCCTTCCAGTCGAGCAAAATACAAGGCTTGTTCCCTCTCATCAAGCTTCTGCTCTAAACGTAGATTATGGATCTCCATCTTCTGTAATTTCAATTTAAGCGTCTCCAACTTGCCTATAGCATCAGATTCATTATTTTGAAGGTATACGATCTGTTGATGTAGTTTTGCAATAACTGTTCTTTCATCCGACTGTGCCTAAGAACAAAATTTAAAGAACAAATCTATTTTTCATTTTGAATACGTTATTGAAGTGTATATGCAAATACAAAGCTACTGTTTTTATTATTTTCTGTACTGCATGTATTTTATTCCATAGATAAGAGCAATAATTAGCCTCTAAATCCGGCTTTTTATTTTTCCACTATTGTTTCTACAGCCACATTTCAGAATTACCAAAATACCAGGAAATGAGGAAGAAATGTATATCTAAACCTAGAAAGTATGGTAATAAAAACTGACACTAAATGTTGTATTTGGAAACTCAAACCATTCTAGAACATGAAAATAAATCCCACAAAATTGTTTCTGCTAATAACAAAACAATGTAGTAAGTCTACTGCAAATCTTCAAGATTTATATGCCATTGCTTGTCCTGTAAATAAGCTTGTCTTGCTTGTAAAAAAGATCAAACTTTCCTGATATTATATTTAAATAAGATCATGAGCTATTAATCATATGGGAATAAATATCAGCTAAATAACACAGACAAAAAAAGCTCAGGATATCTAATAGATGTACATCTAGAAACGGAAGAAATGAGGAGTGAATAATCAATGTAATACAGAACTCTTGAAAGGGTATGGCTGCTACAAGTACCAGCTTGCTAAGATCCTTCTGAAATGCTTTTGCAGTTTCCTAGTTCACTGTAAAATTACTTTGTTTCTTCTCACTCCAGGGAAAAAAAATTCAAACTGCAGTGCTAATAAAGGTTGCCTCTTACCTGATAATCTAAAATTTGCATCCTAAGGCATTCCACTTCTTTATCTCTGTATTGCTGGCGTGCTTCCAGAGCTTCAACTTGCATTTTTGCCACATCAGACAGTTCTCTTAACCTTGCATGGAAAACAAAATTATTGTGTCACCTGAAACCACTGAATGTCCTATGAAGTTTTTCTACACAGAAGAAAAGATGCTTAGTATGTTTCCTCATATCAAAACATTTGAAGACTTTGCTCTTTTCAGCATACTCTTACATAATACTTGGAGTCCTGGTTTTGAAAATTCTGTATGCTCTGTTTCTTTAAAGGACATTTTCCTATAAATTATACAGATGTTAGCTAGCTGTAATCTACTCCAGGAAACTAGTGCCCTGTTTTTTACTTGAACTAAGTATCTCTTTCCTCTATCTCTCTCCTACTTCAGGACATAAATGCTCAAAAAGTTTCATTCTCAGTTCCTTTCTCTGCTTCCCCAAGTCTCATTACTCATTTTCAGTGTCAAAAATCACTGCAAATATCCCACAGACTTTGCTGTTTTACCAATACAACAGGATTACATCATTTACTCAATTACAAATGTCTTTATCAACGTAGCTAAAAAGGTCAATTTTTTAATTTATACATGCAAGGTTAATCTCTTTTAAGTAAATGGTACCTCCTGCAGTTTATCTTTGAATTATCTATCAGTCACTGAAAACGATAATCATTTTCCAATTTATGAGTTCTTTATATATTTAAGGAAGGTTGTGTACCAGAAAGAAAATAAGCCTTAATTCTTAGTTTAAAAATACCAGAAATAAGTGTCTAAGCGCACACTTACCCTATCCAGGCCAGCATTTAATTCCTTGGTGAAATTAAATTTAATTGAACTACTTTCCTTGTAGTCATGAATTAATATATAATGCCAAAAAATTAACATTAAAAGTTATGTTAGAAACACGTAAGTAGAGTATTGTTCGGTTGATACACTGGAGGGAAGGAATACCATCCAGAGGGACCTTGACACACTTGTGAGGTGGGCTGATGCCAGCCTAATGAAGTTTAACCATGCCAAGTGCAAGGTCCTACACCTGGATCGGAGCAATCCCAAGCACGGCTACAGGTTAGGCAGAGATGAGATTCAGAGCAGCCCTGCGGAGAAGGACTTGGGGGTGTTGCTTGGTGAGAAACTTAACACGAGCTACCAGTGTGCACTCACAGCCCAGAAAGCCAACCGCATCCTGGGCTGCATTAAAAGGAGCGTGACCAGCAGGTCGAAGGAGATGATCCTGCCCCTCTACTCTGCTCTTGTGAGACCTCACCTGGAGTATTGTGTGCAGTTCTGGTGTCCTCAACATAAAAAGGACATGGAACTGTTGGAACAAGTCGAGAGGAGGGCCATGAGGATGACCAGGGGACTGGAGCACCTAACTTATGAAGATAGGCTGAGAAAGTTGGGGCTGTTCAGCCTGGAGAAGAGAAGGCTGCGTGGAGGCCTCATAGCAGCCTTCCAGTAGCTGAAGGGGGCCTATAAGGACGCTAGGGAGGGACTCTTTATTAGGGACTGTAGTGGTAGAACAAGGGGTAACAGGTTCAAACTTAAACAGGGGAAGTTTACATTGGATATAAGGAAGAAATTCTTCACTGTGAGGGTGGTGAGGCACTGGAATAGGTTGCCCAGGGAAGTTATAAATGCTCCATCCCTGGCAGTGTTCAAGGCTAGGTTGGACAGAGCCTTGGGCAACATGGTTTAGTGTGAGGTGTCCCTGCCCATTTCAGGGGGCTTGGAACTTTATGACCTTAAGGTCCTTTCCAACCCTAACTGTTCTGTGATTATGTAAACCTATATAGCTTAAATTTTTGCATGCTTCTAAACATACTGCATGTGAAATTTGTTACGTCAACACTTACTTTGATACCTCAGTCTTGAGCTCCATCTCACGCTTTTCTAGGTCCATGATTTGTCGTCTATCTGCATCACTTACTGCCTTACTTACACTCTTTGACAATTCGTCTCTTAATTCCTGTTCCACTTTCTGTGCCTCCAGGTTGATTTTGGTAAGCTTAAAAAAAACAACACCAAAACAAACCAGAAAAAAAACAAAATGTATTCTAAGCACACAAATGCTGTCAACCCTGCAAAGAAAAAGCAGTGCCAAAAGTATCTTTTCTTTAGTTGTTTAAAAACACTGTTCAGCTGTGTTGAAAACACAATTTCACTTATTAGGACTGGTAACACAAATATAGGTTATCAGTGCAAAGTGTCATTATAGTGTAGATCTTTTGTTATTTCTAATATGAAAGACTTTCATATTTAAGTGATATTCTTTCAAGCAGCCTGATTTTTCAAATACCAAGTAACCAATGTTTTCAGTCCAGACCAACAAGCATTAAGATATCTGAAAAGTGTTAGACAACATGGAGAAGCCTCAGGAATTAATTTAGTAAATATAATTTACAGTGGCAGATTAATCTGATACCACCCCTTAATAAAAACTGGTTTCCTAAACAGAGAAAACAGTGTGATGTATCTTATTACCTGCACTTCACATATCTGAAGCACTGCTATCTGGAAATCTAACAGTTGTGTTGAAGTAGATTTATGTGTTTAGAAGGAGATGTCTGGTAGATTTTTTCTACTTACCAATTCTTAAACTGATATCACTTACAACTTTCAATGATTACCTTAGCACAATCTTGTTATATATATAGATATAAATATCTCTTTCAAAAAAAAAAGAAAAAAGCAGTGATGCTGGGTTAGGAGGCACTGACAACAGGAGTGTATGAAACAGAAAACATACATCCTGGAGCTACAGGAATGAGGACAAAAGGGATACACAGAGAAACTACTAATGAAAAAATGTGGAGTTCATCAATTCAGGATGAAGGAAGATGTGTAGACCTAAATATATCAAAAGGTAGATAATATATGCACAAGAGAAAAAGGAAAAAGTGATCCCAGGGTGCATGACCTGGGGTATTTCTTAATGAAATAAAAGAACACATGCAATCAAAGTTTTTAACAATACAGCACCGCTGCTGAAAAGCTTTATACTTTCAGTTACTCCATGTCCCAAATAAATTAAAATGAAAACCGTGTAACAAAACACTACTAAAGCACTGAGAAATGGTAAGTCAGACAACAGCAATGCAAACCAGTTAGGCTATATTCTAGCAAGGCACAAGCAGGAGGAATGAATACAATCTACCAACATTCCAGTCAACATAACTATTTCTTCTCTTGTGTTTAAATTACAGACCAACACTGTCACAAGAACAAACATGTAAAATTGCTTAAATAAATTTAACTGGAAATTATAATAAAGTTTCCTACAACTAAAGTATTTGTGTAACATATTTCAAATACAAGTAGTTAGGACAAAAAGATTAAGACTGATGTGACAGGAATACTATAGATCACTAGCTTCACTGGCACACTCTTCTATTCCTGCATTATAGATAATGTTTGGCATGTAACAGAGGACATAACCTGTCTGTAACAGAATCATGACACTATCATTTGCAAATGGGATGCTAAGGTCTAACATTTTTTTAATCATTGGTAATTAAGGAAAAGTTAGCAGAAAAGGGATCATATGAATTAGACACAAGAAATAAGAACAAAACTTTTTCTAGCAGTCTGCTGAATAAGTAGCAAGCTATTTTACAGAGATGATGTAATAATGCATTTTACAGAGATTAACTAAACTACTGACAAATAAATTATCATATGTACTGTGCATGCAGAACTGCAGCTCTTAAAGGCAGCTATATTTTGCATCATAAGCTTACTTGCCAGTTGTGATATAGATTTAATATTTTTTGAAAAGCTCAAGAGTATGCTTCTAAGATGTGTGAAATTACGTTGTAAATTCTCAACAGATTTACCTCAGCAAATTTTGTTTCTAATTCAAAATTACGTTCTTCTATTTGCTTTACAGTATTCCTTAACTGTTCATACATTCGTTGTGAATGTTCTGCTCTCTGTCTTTCATTTAGTTCCTTCATTTCCAACATCGTGATTTTCTTAGAAATGGACAAAATCTCACTGTTGGTTACTGCTTTTGTGGCCTTGTCCATGGTATTGTCATCCCCTACATTAAAAAAAATATTTACATTAGGAAATATACAAACTGATTCAACTATAAAAATTATTTGCACCATGAAACAGAATGTGAGTTTTGACTTATCTCTGTCAGATAAACTTTATGGTGTTACTTCTTTAAACTGGGGACATGGTTATCTTGCCTTATTCCATGTTTGAAAAGTATCTAATTTGAATAAAATATCATTATCAATTATAAATGGGCATATCTGCAACTATCCTTATTGAGACTGATAAGTATTTTCAGTGTTGCCTTTCATTCTGTCCTGAATTCATCTGGCAAATCTTCAGGAAATTTAATTTAAGATCTGTAAAAGCAATAGAAGTGGATGAGTTGTTCCTGAATAATGGGACTGTAAACTGTACAGAAGGAAGCCTCAGCTATCAAGAAAAAAACACTTTGCTACAGAGCATGAAACCAGGAAATTCCAGCTTTTAAACCCTTAACCCAAGAAAAATCAACGTGGAACAGTTTACAGAGGAAGAAAAACAAAGTTGGTATTGGTCCAATAGATAAATAAAATGAAACAAACAAAATCACCAAAAAAATTGAGATCGTTAATGACAAATACAAAATAGTTTTGATGTTCTGTTAAGATGCATAAAGTTTAAAAACATTTTGAGATATTTCATGGAGGACATACTATTTGATTTTTAATGCTACAAAATAACATTCATACTTGCCCAGTTTAGTCATCTGTTCCCAAGCCTGTTCTACAGTGTGAAGTTTCTCTTTTGTGATCTCCAATTCCTTATTCAATAAATTTATCTGTGCTTTCAAGGATATATTCTCACACTGTATGACAAAAAAGTTGCGACATAACAGCAAAGTATTTAACTGTAGCAGAATTAGTATCTATAAAATCTTTTCAATTAACAGATTTAATTAATGCATAACCCATAATCTATATACACTCTTCTGTTGCAGTGTAAGTTTCCCCCAAGTGTAAAAATGCTAGTCTTTTCTCTCCGTGCTGTATCTTACTGCCAACTAGTATTACTGTGAACATTTATCACCAGTGACTGATTCCTAGAGTGTCTAGAATTAGATGAAGAAATCTGTAATATTAAACAGCTTACTAACACTGGGAAAGAAAAAAAGTACTTCTGGAAGATATTTCAACCTGCACAGGATACTTCATCTTGCACATAAATACGTACTTGAGATGGATCATATGCTTCTTTTAGTGCTTTTAAACATCTAATATGATGAAAAACATCAGTTTTGTAAACATTCCTTCACTCCTCCACACAGAAACAAAAATTTCCACATTAACCAGTAAAGCAAATTGAATAATTCATATTAAGGAAGCCAACTGTATCCTGGGCTGCACGAAAAGGAGTTTGACTAGCAGGTTGAAGGCGATCCTGCCCCTTTATCTGCTCTCATGAGACCCCACTTGGAGTATTGTGTACAGTTCTGGTGTCCTCAACATAAGAAGCACATGGAACTGTTGGAGCAAGTCCAGAGGAGGGCCATGAGGATGCTAAGGGGGCTCAAGCACTTCCCATATGAAATCCGGCTGAGAAAGTTGGGGCTGTTTTATGATTCTGATTTCTAGCTTTCTAAAAACAGTTTTTGTTTGCTACGATAAACAATTCTCTACCTCTGTGAAACTGCTGAAATAGGCAATGCACAAAGTTTCAGAAAATTTCAAAAAAATTCAGCTGACACAAGTGCATCCACCTGTTCCCAAACAGACAAATTTCAGTAAGTTTACCCAGCACATGTATTTAACCCCTGTTAACCAAAGAAACCCAACAGACAAGAACATGACATGAGCTTGATCTATTTAAACTACTACTTTCTTGGACTGTTATTTCGAACATGAATGAAAAGTGGGAGGTAGTAATGTAGCTTTGAAGCCAGCTTTACAGTTCTTGAAAAGAAGTTCCTTTCTACTTGAGAATAAATGTTCAAAAGAATAGCTACATATTTACGGTCCCTATAACATTTTGCAAATGCATTGTGAGCAATCTTTGGTTGCTTACTTTTTTTTTGTTTATGGTGCAAAAGGCTTACTGCTTACTGCCTTTTGGAACTGTACATTTCATTCTTGTAAATCAGAAATTAGTAACAGCATTTACTTTGAGAGAAAGCTTTAAAAGTGTATACACTCATTCTATTTTCCTTATTACCTAGAAAACTGAAGATGATAAAAAATATTCCTTCTGCCAACCTTGTTTTGGTAATCAAAGAATTAAAAATACTTTGTGGGGGAACATACCCATACTTAAAAAGCAAACATAATCAAATAAACCAACACACCAAAACAATTCAACAAAATGATCTTAAGGTCCTTTCCAACCCTAACTACTCTATGATTCTGTGTATGCTTACTGAAATAAAATCTGTGACTTTGTGTATGTTTCCTAATCCACTGAAAATTACCGGAGACATGAAATCAATTCAATAGCAACAGTAAGACTGGCTCTAACATCTCATACCCACTATGGGACTGATATAACCAGCAGTATCAGTGCTGGGACTTTGTTCTATCTTTCTATTAAGTGGGAATAAAAACCAATACGAAACAAATGTATAATGAAGGAGTTTTTCACTTAGGACAGGTTCAAACATAATGGAAACATTACCTCCACATGTTCCATGTTCGTTGTCTGCTGGACGAGCACATTATCTTTTTGTAACATATCTCTGTATTTAGCAGTTAATGCGTTATACTGCTTATTAGCCAGCTCTAGCTCAGACAATGGCACGCTAGCATCCAACACTTTTTGCAGAGCTGCAATCTTAAAACTAGCCATTTCCTATGAAAATAATCAGCACAATACGTTATTACGGTCTGCTGGATCTTTAAATAGGAAAATTAAAATTACTCCACAGAAAAATAATGCTATTTAATATAATGCTTCAGAACATAATACTGGTTTATTTTACTAAACTACTGTCCATCTTTATAAACTGCTTGCAATAAGCACTGATAAAATTTTTCTGGTATTCCAACTCTCTGGGTGATTTTATCAGCAGTTGCCTCCTGAATGCACTGTCAAAACCATACTTTACAAAGATGAGTTAATAGAGGCCCTAGGAACCTGCAAGGTCAAAACGTAATTTGGTTTTGTATGACACTTTCCAAGTAAAAAGGAGGGACAAACTGACAGGTTTCATATTATGATGCTTATATAAACACAAATAATTTTTTGACAAAATTTACAGCACTGTTTGACAAGCATCAGGGTAATGCATTCAAGAAATTAATAGTGCCTCCATTTAAAAAAACAAAAAAGGCATCTATTGCCAAACTGTAAAACATATGTACTATTACTACTGTAAACTGTACCTTGAATCGTTGCAAGTTTCCAATCTTCTGTGTAACTGCAGTCTCTATATGTGTTATTTCACCCTTTAGTTTCTCATTTTCTTTTCTAAGATGCCGTTCTGTTTCAAGTAAAGTGGTATACTGCCTTGTTAATGACCTCTCATTAACTTGTAAAACAGTTATTTTTCTACTATTTTCTGCAAGTACTTTCTTTGTTTCATCAGGATCCAGCTGAAGTGCACTGAGTAGATTCTGTAAAACAATTTTTTAAAAGAACCTTATACAGAAATAAGGTAAAATTCAACTCCATAGACAAGCTTTCTTGTACAATTTTATCTAGGTGTGAAAATTCTGTTCATCTGTCTTGAAATAATTTCTTTTTGCTAATAAAAATTACTTACAGAATATGCCTTTATTTTTGTAGCATCCTGTTCTTTTTGCTCTTCTAGCTTTCTCATTTTCTCTTTCATATCTTCAGACTCTTTCTGCCAGCTTTCCTTTTGACTAAAACAGTAATTAAATATTTTCATTTATAATGATAAAAGACATGATGATTTTTAAAAGTGTTAACTATTTGCAAATATTGCAAACAAAGATATTTATTTTTAGGAGTAACATAACTTGAAAAATATATTATAAACTGTAGCTGTATTACTGAAAAGCTATCCCCTCCCTCTGTTTAGGCTGCATCTGATTTAATGATGAAGTATTCTTAAGTTAAAGTGTCTTATCTCATCCACATTCTTCAACATTCAGAGAGTTGAACTTTCATAATATAGAAAAGAGAGCAATACCTTTGATATTCTTTATACAGCAAGCCTTGTTGATGACGAATTACTGCAAATTTTCGCTTATAGTCTTCTACTGCGTCTTCTAATTGTTTAAGTAACTGTTCTTTATTTTCCAGTTCCTAATAATTATTTTCCAAATATAATACTGAAGTGATTAACAAAGGTTTTACACATGAAAGGATTAATCAAAATGACAGTTCTCCCTTGTTTTTTTCATGATAGAACCTTCTGTCATGAACTGTACAAACTGCAGATATTAACTGTGTGTTTTCTTTAGAAGCAACAGATAAAACCAAGTCCAATAAAATCTGGGATACATATTAATAAAGGTGTGAAAGAGTGCATCCTTGCACTGTGACTTACAGCCCTCAGTGTTCAAGCCATCACAACATGAGGCTAGCCCACAAAGAATACTAACTGAATGTCTGACTGAAAAGCGATGTTTTCTTAGGTTCCCAAATACTCTTCTATAATCATATACACCTGAAAGATAATCTCTAATCACGAAAATTGATCAAATACAGAACAATATAATTTAACAATAAGAAAAAGGTAAGTTCTTTTTACTGTACAAGCCTTCTTTATTGTATGATCAATGGCTCCTGTTTCAATGTATTTATGCCTCTCTTTATAAATGTTGATGTATTTTGACAAATAATGGAAAGAAAATTCATATGGTCGATAAACAGAGACCTTTGCTCTATACAGAAAACCTATTCAGAGTAGGATTTGCACATGCAGACTCAGGTGTAGAGTCCAGACAGCAGTAACAGAGAATTTCTCACAGAAAGAGTGCAACTACAGAAGTAGAAGAAAGAGCGGTCAAATATTTAGATCAAAATTTAGATTAAAAAAAAAATAATCTGAATTGTTCTAAGATTTAAGTATTACCTTCCAGGTTTGCAACACAGCAAAATACTTTCAGCTTAAAAATGTAAACAGAATAGCTCAAGGAATTTAGCTGATGTCAGAACTTCAAAGTAATTTTTGAGAAATCTCCTGTGTCTATATAAGGCATGGTATTACATTTCAGAAGAATTAGCCATATGTTACAAATATTCTTGATGTTAAGGAGCAAATGATTTACCTGTACAAGACGTATTAAATATTCATTCAGAGAGTTAATCATATTAACACTTGAAGGAACCATTCCTTCTGGAAGATTCACTGTTTGGAAGACAATATTGGCACCTTCTGACTGCTGTAATAAGGAAATTTCATTTTTCAGTTGTGCAATCTAGAAAAAAGAAGCAAACCCATAAATCAGCTTTTCCTATTCGATTAAAAATAAACTTATGAAAAAACATAGTTTTCGTATGCTACATCAGTTGTTATTAACAACCTAATTCACCCTCCACTTATGTTCTAAAGTAGTCAAATACTCTTTAAAGTAACCTTTTAGAAATGCTGTGATTCCATAAATCTTTAAATTTGGATCTTAAGCCAAATTTATGAAATTAATCCAGTAGTCAGGGCAGCTTCATATCTGAATATTCACTACAGTTTTATGCCAAATTGTTTAAAATGCAGTGCATTTCTATTCCTTTTTAAAAGATAAAGTTTTGGAAAGAATTATTACAGTGGTATGATGGTTTATTCTAAACAAATCTTTGCCTTTCCATAAAACTTTTTAAAAGCTCTCTGATTCTCTACTCTAACAGTACATAAAACGCTATTCTAGAACATTAATTACTGGGAACTCTTTTTGTATCACCAAAGCTATTCTAAAAAGCAAATTTAAATTTGGCTTCTTCTCAGACAATAATTCATTCCTCATTCCTGCCCTCAAAAGCAGCATTCCACAAAAATCAATTGCATAACTGAAAACAAGAGAAGATTTTAGAGAATGATTAATATTTTAGAACACTTAATCTCTGTTACTTAATAAAAACAAATGCAACATTACTGGCTTCTTGAAGATAGAAATCTGTGAGCTTTTGGGGGACATCTCTCTCCAAAAGATAGGTATGAATGGAGTTTAGCCTGATAGGATATTCCAAGGATAAAGTAACATTAAGAAGAGTAAGATTTGAACTTAAAATGGTCAAACTGGTAGATCCAATATATATACTTAAGATTTGCATAATTTCACTGTTCATATAAGCTAAATTTAGTATCTTACAGTTTGTGTGGTTTTGGTCTGAATTATTAGAGCAGCCACTTTTCCAGCACAAAATAAATTGTATAAAATAAATCGTATACCTTTTCATTTGCACTTGCCAGCTGATTAGAGAAACTTGTTGCCTCTTTCTGAGTCTGTTTCAGTTCCCGTCTTAATTCTTCATTTCGTCCTGAAAGCTGATCAACCTGAGCTTTCAAGTGCACACTAGTATCAAAGATTCCTTCTGAATTCTTTGACTCCATTGCCTAACACAGTAAACATTTAATCAACAAAACAGAGAAAATGTAAAAAACGAAAAAAAGCTTTTCTGCACATAATAAACCGGAGCCCTCAAATTTAGTCTACATAAAATTGGCAAAAAAAAAAGAAGCCTTATAAAAAAAAAATCACCCTATATTTTATTTGCAAGATGTTTGAATAAAGAATTTTTTTCTTAAACTCTGCAGGTCCCAGAGATAAATGACAAGCAAACAAACTTTTACCTAAGCTTTATGACTGGTACAATAAATTTACCAAAGCCAGGTTTGTACCATCCAGCTGAAGGTGTTTTGTTTAATTTTTACTAACAATCTCCTGTTGCTGAATATTATAAATTTGCATTTTTAAAGAGGTATTACACTACGTACTCCTACTTCTAACTACAGATGCATATGTATAAGGAAGCTAATATTTAATTATACAATAACCCAATAATCGAGGAGAAAACAGAAGCCTGTAAATCCCATAAAACTAAATAATACTTCAGAGAGGCAGCTTACGTTAACTAAACGATTGAGACTCGGGATTATTAAGGCTGTTTCTCCTCCCTTCACATTAGAATCCTTCTGCATTTCCTTGACAGCTTGCAATATTTCTTTCATTCCTTGTTCAAGTTGTTTATTCTCTTCTGATAATTCTTTTACTGTAATAAAAATTGTAAATGCATCTAAAAGCACTGAAAAAATAATTTAAGATTTCCTAGGACATGTCATTATAATGCTTGTTGATTTGATATATAGAAAGAATGTTCATACTATATATAAATATAACCAATTAGGATGTGAAAAGTAAAGCTGCTAGGAACATCTACAGAGTGTATTTTGCTGGACAAATACAAACAAAATATAATATGAATGAAATATGAAATGCTTCATGGGAACAGGTTTGATTTTTTTGAATCTTCCAGCCTTCAATGTTTCCTGCCATTTTCTTCAATTCCTTAGTAGCCTGTCTGACTAGCTTTCACAAATCCAGAAATGTGGCTATCTTGGAAATGTTTGGGCTTTACAAAGAGGTATATGCAAATTGCCTGAATTCCCCGACACTGGGAAAAAAAAGAACATTTAAATTACTTGGCTTTAATAAGGACTCTCAAAACATACAATTTTCCTGCCACCATTAGTTTGACAGTAGAATTTCAGATTTCCCAAGACAGAGCAAGAAGTCTGGAAACTTTAAGAAAAACCCAAACAAGAAATCACTCAGGACTTTTTCTGCAAGTTTACAAGATGGCTAACTGTTCTGAAGATCCAGGAGTGCATGCAATATTTGGAGCAATAAAAGATTCTTGTCTAGAGAAATAAGCATTGTTTTTACTTTGGATTTTTTGAGCAGTTCTCTTCAGCTAATGTATACGTAAACAATGAGTGGGTTTAATTCCCGAACACTTCCTTGGAGTCAAACAAGCACAATCACACAAGTAAATTGCTCTAATTGGGATCACTCACAGACTTAAAGCCCTTATATGGTCTGATTCAGGAGGGAAATACACGAGAGATACTAGTTTAACATATTTAGTATGAGTTAACTATGTTTCATGTTCTATCAGTAATTTAAAAGTAGCAGCACCATGTATGTATTTATACACAAAAATACACACTAAGATAAACACAAAATGTTAAAAGTCATTAATGATAATTCAACCTGACAAATGCCATTAACATTCATTGTTTTCTCATCATTGTGTTCACACCTGGACCAATCCACAACTATAATGCCCACAGTTCAGAAGTATGTAAGAATGACTGTCTAATAACCTTCTATGCACACAGCAAATACTATCACTGTGAAAGACCAAAGTAAACTGCATTTAAAACAGAAACTGCCAAGTTAGATATTTGTGGTCACAATCACAAAATAAGCAAACTATCTGCAGGTGCCTGATAACATCCCCTAGTTTTAAAACAGGCTTACATTTACATTTAAACTTACATTTACATTGAAATTTGGCTATTACGGTCCTGTTCTTCTCCAAATCTCGCTCTCTCATACTTAATTCATTTGCAAGATACTCATTCTAAAGTAAAGAAGAAAGACGTCTCAAAAATCATAGTTCAGAAATTTCAGTATTAGAATTTTTGTTAAGACTCTGTAGTTAAATGAGAATGCTTGAAAATATTGCTAATTCATGTATGTTCAACAGTGAAATTACACAGTACGTAAAGCAAAATGAGGTGTTACATAGAAGGCAACAAAGAAACAGCCTCATCTTCACAGCAACAAAATTATCAGGAAAAAAAAAATAACCATAAATAAATTTTACATAAATATTTACCCTGTGGGGTTCTGTGTGTGGTCTTTGTTTGTTTGTTTGTGGGTTTTTTTTTTGAGGCTTTTTTTTTTGTTTTGTATGAGATGCAAGGCTGCATGCACAGAGGAAAATGATGAGTACACAGATGTGTGGAAGATCTTAGAATAAAAACTATTCTGTCTTTGTACCTGTCTGTGTGTGTGTGTGTGCACAGGTGTTATGCAAATTTTTTCCACCAATGGAATGAAAATATCTGCCTACATTTTTCAATTCTATGTTAACAAATAAACTGAAAATTAATGACTTGGCACTTTTTTTATTAGAAAAAAAAATATTCCAGTTCCATTTGAAGTATCCTATAGCTTTAATTAATAAAGATGAAGGTAAACTAACACATCTGCATTATTTGAATTTACCTTCTGAACAACTGCAATAGATATAAGCATACACATACTATAAATGTCTCACCTGTGATCTAAGAAGGGCTAATTCTCTCAATTGTTCTATGAGATTTTCAACAGGATCTACCTGACCTGAGTGTTCTGATTGTCCATTTCTGAGTCCATTTTCTAAAGTTTTTACTTGCAACAACTGTATTAGGCATTTGTTTCCTCTGTCTGCTTGAAAGGTAGTTAAATCAGAAAACTTTACTTGCAAATAGTTTTGCTCATCTTTCAATGCCTTTACTTGTGCTTTGTTGGTTACTGGCTTTCCAAGAGCAGATGCACAAACAATCAGAGAGTTTTTGCTGACAGACTGTCTTGGGGAAAAATTTTCCTCACCTGTTTGGTCTGAATTAGAAGTTCTGGACACTTGATACTGAAAAGATGGCTTGTTTCTGTAATTTTGGTTATATACCAAATACAGGTCTCACACACTGGCTGATAAGGAGAAAATGAACCTGTGCAGCTTGATTTTAAGTCTTCTGATATCTCTATTGTCTGCATGATCTGTTATCCCTGATGTCTGTGAAAACTGTAGGTCTGCTGATATGTAAAGCTCTTTTAAACAAAGAGTTTCATAACTACTTAGTTATGAATTCATTAATTAGTTGCCACACTGAACATAAATGAACCAAAGAAATACTTCTACTTTCTTTCAAGGCATCTGAATTCTGAAGTATGCCGGAAGTTCTTCTACATAGACTCTCACAGCCTTACTTTTTTCAGCTGTATCTTTCTCTGACTTCAGAAGTCTAACTGGTGCTTCTCTGTCTGCGTTTCTCCCTTCCATGTTATATGAGCTGCTAGCCTATATTCACAAAAAATTCAGAATACTAGCTAGTTTTCTAAAAAAAATTACAAATTATTAATTCTTTAAAAGTTGTGAATAAAAGCACCGCATATTTAAACAGATATTTACAAATATCTGTTACATATTACTTTTATTTCAAAAGACAAATACAATAAATGATTATGAACTTGCTTTATGAACCTACCTTTGCTTTTGCTTCAGTAATATCCTGTCTGTTCAAGAGATCCAACTTCCTCTTATTCATTCCCTTCTCTTCAGTAAAGCTATCTGTTATCTGCACATTACCAGTATCCAATCCTAATTGCAAGTAAATGTATGCATGATGATTATGAATTTTTTACTTTCCAAGCAAAGGGATATATTCCACTTAATACATCTGAGTTCTGGTTTTCTACCTGCAAAGGAAGGAGCTGTAAACCCTTCCATTTGAGCACATGCTTCCATGGGGTGGCACAGAATTGAAATTTTAAGATTTCTGAAACACATACATTATACAGATCTCTTGGAAATCACGGTGAGAACATCTGTCATCTAAGAACTGCAACCCAACCACACAACTCTCAGTGATGCACTACTAGCCACTACAAGTCAAAAAGCTAATGGGCTATAAGACTATGAAAATACAAAAGCACTCACCTCTTCCTACAAATTCAATTCAATGTATTTAGCCTTGTAATTTAAACAAATGAGCAAATATAACATATAAATAGGTATAGACAACATCTGTTTGAAAGAACAGTTTATAACAAACAAAAAAAAAAAATCCTACCTGTTGTTGAAATTCTTCTTCCTTTCTCCTGAGCCAACTTACGAATCTGTTTTTTCAGTTCAATTCTTTCTTCTTCTAGTCTTTCAATCTGCACATTATTGTTCACAGATCAGTATTTCATTTTGTTCAACCACATTTTTATTACGTAGCTCTTACACAAAAATAAGATTTAGCACTTACCTCTTGCAAAAGAATTTGGTTTTCAGCTGTATATTGCTGCTGCTTCAGTGCTTTGCTGTTTCTGAATTCACTTAAATCAATCATTGTCTTTGGCTCAAGACCTAAAACATAGTAAACACTATATAATTATTCATTATGCAGGAACACTAATGTTAGCAATCATTAGAATGCATTTAATTTTAAAAAGGACATAACTAGTCAAGTAGATTTTTTTTTTTAAAGGAGATAGTTGAATATATGCACTTTAATAGGTGTCCATATTTTATGCTACATATAACAGCACCAAGCAGAAGTATAATTTTACCTCACTCAAACCCCAAAATGCAATAAAATACCACCTAAAATTTACTATATTAATGTTTAAATTAAAATTAACATTTATGTTTAGATTCTGTGTAAAAATAAGCCTGTCCAAACTCTTCTCTGTTTTTCAATCCATCACTACAGCTTCTGTTTCCAGTTACTGTATTATGAAATTAATTAAGCAGTTTACAGTCAGAGGAATCAAAGCCAAGAAAGGACTACAAAACCTATTATCCCATTTCCTTCAGTCAAAGCAACCTGTAAGCCATGTACATTCATGCAGTTTGTCCTAACTTGATACTTGCAAATATTACCAGAATATACAAAATTATTTCCAAGCAGTTACTTGGTATAGTAACATTCCATGATACAGTATTATTTTAATTCTTACAGAACAAATAATTGAAAACACAATGGATATAGCATACCTAAGCGCTCTCTGAGTTCTTCGTTTTCATCAAGAAAATCATTTATTTTAAGTTCAAGTTTATTGCCTTCCTTAATTAATGTTTCGATCTCATGATCTCGTATTCTGATTTGCTTTTTTAAATCATTTATTTCAGCAACAGCCTCTTCCAAACCATATATTCCCTGAAACCAAATGGAAAGTAAAACAACCAACAGCAGTGTAAGAAAAATAAATCATGAATATAGTTTTCATCACTACACAGATAAGTTTTTCAACCTGTATAACTCCTCTGCATTACACTTAATGAAAAAGGTTACTGAATAAAAAGCAGATCTACAAATTTGTCTTTTACAAATTTAATCTTTTAACTATAGAAGACCCTCTGCATATTTCAAAACTGAGTCCTCTTCCTACATGATTCTTTGAAGAATCTTATCTTGAGTGCTCAATTACTATTCAATGGACTTCAGAAGCTCATACTAATATGCTAAAACTGATGACTTGTACAAATTGTTAAATATGGCAAGCAGTCAGTGACTGCTATAGAATCACAGAATGGTTCTAGTTCCAACCCCTCTGCCATGGGCAGGGACACCTTACCCTAGACCATGTCACCCAAGGCTCTAGCCAACCTGGCCTTTGAATGCTAAATGTTATTATTAAAAAAAACCCAATAACAAACCCCAGCATCAGAAGTCTTTAACTTAATTTCTAATTAGAACAGGGTCAATAAAAAAATGGAAGGACAAAATGACCTCCTAAAAATATGATGTAATACCCTGTCCAGTCTGACACACTGCTTACCAGTTCATAGTCTCTCATTCGTTTCAGAGTTGCAACAAGTTCTTTGTCCTTTTCTCTAGCATCTGCTTCTGCTAATTCTGCTGCTTTCTCAGCCTCCTTAGTTCTGTCCTCTAGCATTTTCAACTTTTCTTGCATTTCCCCAATGCGATTCTGCTGAGCAAGAGATGAGTGACCTGCAAAGAAAACCCTAATTTGTTTATAACTAGGAATTCTTGCTATCAGGCATCAAGCAAGAAAGAAACACTTTGGATGTTGTTATGAAGATCTTACCCTTGCTGCTCTTTTAAATTAAGTAATTGCAAAAGACTACACTAGTGCTTTTTCTCCCAATTGTTCATTCAAACAATGAGAAATGCAAATCATTTTTTGTTATATAGTATAAATATATTATATTGGAAGTGCAGTAGAATTTATTTTGAATTGCATGCTACTACTCACTTGGAATTCTTCATAGGGCTGAGATCTTATATGTTATGCTCTAACCTTTACAAACCAGGTATAGTTAACTACACACTGCATTGCCATAAACCCCATGAATTACTGTGAATGAATTTAAACTCTTTATGAATGTTTAATAAATGAAAATGAACAAAAAAATACTAGAGACTAATATTACTCATGTAGTGCAAATATTTTTTCGGTATTTTTAGTGAATAAAGAATGTACAGTAAAATTCATGGTTTCTTATCACCCTTCCATAGACATTAAAATGGTTGCTACCTTTATCTTTTTGGAGATCATTTCTTAATTCCTCAATTAGCAGTGTATTTTGTTCCATTTCTTTGGTATACTGTTCAACTTGCTCAGTAAGCAATCTTATCTGCGCATCCCTCTCTTGCACACCCTACACACACACAAAAAAGAAACTCCATTAAGAATTCTTCTCTACTGACAGGCAAGCTACCTATATAGAACACCACACAATAAAAAGTAGCTAAGACAAAACAATTTATAGAACACCAAATATACTGTACTTACAACTGAGAGTTCAGATATTATCTAGAAGTTGGGTATATAAAGGCAAAGCAGGAAAAATAAAAGAGTGAGTAAAAATAAAGCACTCAAACACATACACACAAACCAGTATTTTAGTACACTGATTTTCAATGGAACTGCCCTCTCAGAGTTAAACGTTTCAGATGATACATGTTTCTTACAGTTTCCTCATAAACAGTTGCCAGTGGGAACCAAGAGATACAAGTCAAGACTGGGAGGACTAACAATCCATCATACATGACACCTGTTGCAGACTGCCTTTCAGCAAGGCATCGAACTTTTAGAAAGTCATATCACACCTTATTTTGCATGCATATATATCCGTAAGTACATACAGACTGTGAAAGTGACTTCTATTTAAATATACTATTTCTGTGCTTATACATGAACTTTAGAAATATAAAGAGCTTCATCTTATTTTTTCTGTGATGAACAAAAGAAGAGGAAAAAGATACAAAAGATACTCAGAAAAAAGTTACAGAATGTAATTATAATGTAAAAATCTCAAGAGCTGCTGAACTTACTTTACACCAATATTATGAAAAACAAAAGTGCAGGCTTTATTAGAAGACAAATATAACCACAGTTCAAACCTAATGGCAAAGAGCAAAGTTGTAAGGAGCTAAATATAACCCTTTAGAATGTGAACATACACTGAAGCATAAGAAGCTCAGTCCATTTTGAGTTAAAACACAGCACAGTAAATTGATTTGGCTTTAAAGCATCTGTTTTAAAAATACAGTTATTTCCACAAAACTGTCATACTGTCATGCTAATGATGGTCATCGAAAAAAGCAACCTCTAGAACCATCTAGTCAGCTAAAGCCAGACTCTACAACTCTTAGCAAAGTTACTGTCAGCTGCCTTCCTCTTCTGAAGAGGAAGAGGCTGATTTGCACCTAAGTTTTTGGTTGTTTTTTGGGTTTTTTTTTGTTTTTTTTTTTTGTTTTTTTTTTTTTCTCCTGAGAAGCTCTCTGTTCCTAAATTTATCTCACCTCACTGCTTGGTCTACATGGGCCCAATATGAAATACAAATGTCAAATAACTCCTTGAAGCAAGGCACAAAATCATCCTGTATCATACAGTATGCTTTCCATGGTGAATATTTCAATGTTATTAATGGGCTGCTTATTTATTTATTCTCTTCATGTTTGTGAAGAAAATGGGGAAGTTCAAAATCTTAGAGCTATGTGAGTGATACACTTCAGGGGCTGAAGCACAGACTTAATAGTAAGGCATGAGGTGAAATAAAGAAACATAAAATTAAACACTAGTAAGAGTCTTCCTTGACTAACAAATTTAGGAGACAGAAACTCAGCTGTAATCTAAAAACATTAAATTACGGATGCTTAGAAGTTAAAGCAATCAGTCTAATAATGCAAAAGATAAATATGAAACTAGCAGAACAATCACCAAGAGCTCAGTTCATACATACAGCAAGAGAAGTTTCCTTTGCCACTGTCTATTAAGCTATCTTTGCAGTGGAATGACTTGGCCTGTTTCATAATACTCAAGCAATACATATTCTGGTACTTGCAGACTATGAAAGACTCTTATTATTTGGTCACTAGCATATTTAGTGAGTGGTAATTTCTCACACAGACTGTACCTGTTGAAGGGCCATTATACTGTTTCTGTCTACATCAAGTTGGGCCATTTTCAATTTCTCTTTCAAGTTAAACAACATTTGCTGATGCTGTAGGAGTTCATCATCTTTTGAAGCTAAGATATTCTGAAAAGAAGATAAAATACCATCAGAACACTTGGAAGTAATCCATAAAACTAATAAAAAAGTATTAAAAAGTACCTTCCATTCTTCAACTTTTGCATTTACAGCTGCCATAAGTGGATAGTCTTCTTCATTCTTTGCTTTCAGCTGGTCTGAAAGCTCCTGAACCTAGAAATGCCATTTGAATTAATATCATATCACAAAAATGTTTTGCTTAGTATATACGTATAAACACATTATATCAAGTGCATACAATTTAACAGATTAGCATTACAGCAGCAAGGGAAGATCATGACTCTCAAGAACACAACTATGACTAACATTTTGTACAAAATATCTGAAGGCAATTTTTAAAATTTGCACCAAATTTAAAGATCATACTACTTTTAGAGAGTGTTATTTCAGTAGAATGTATATTTTTAACTGGATATGTTGACCATTTTTTTATTTTAAATTAAAATGTGAGTGAAGTTCTTACTTGAAATTTGTACTGTTCTTTCTCTTTTCTTAAGTGATCCATAACAGTATCAGATTGTTGCACAATTAATTTCATTTTGTTATATTCATCAGTCATCTTTTCCATTTCTTGTACTGATTCCTCAAGATTCTTCCTCATTTCTTGGTTTTGAATGTCTAACTTCTCATTAGCTTCAGTCAAATTCTGCAAAATTAAAGAAAAAGCTGCTTTTAAGTAGTGCACATCTAAAGATCTAAATAAGCACTAATTGACTAATAAGCACTAAGCTCCCTTAAATATTAAGACTTGAAAGTCTTACAAGAAATTAGCACAAAAGAGAGTATTTTTCACCTCTAGATTATCAACTGCAACAAATCCTAGCAGCAAACAAAAGACACATCTCCCATTTCCAGTGACTTAATTACCTCTGCCAGATTCACCAGTGCTATGCATAAGCATCACAGAACCCAACTACATTATGAATTCCCTTACTCCACATGAGTTGGACATAGCTTTGTGAAAAACACTATTGTCAGTAACAGTCTAATAAGTACTCAATAGCATGCATAGATTTTACCTGAATTTCATCCAAATACTGGACAAGCTCGAAGTTCTTTTTGGACAACTGTGATCTGTAATCAGAATTCTCTCCTCTTCGTAACAGAATTGCTTCTTTCTGAGAATCTATTTGCCTCTGATAGTCAACTACATCCTGACACAGCTCTTCATTCTGCACAGAAAGCAATCCAAACTGAAATCTATTTTGAAGATTTAAAGACAAAGACATTGCTTTTCTAGCAAGCTAACACAAAGACCTAAGACAGTCAAATGCCATTCAAATTCCTACAGTCTGCTTTTAAAAAACTTAGAAGCCTCACCTTTTTCTGTAAGCGTTTTTTCTTCAGATTAAAAAGGAGAGAACAAGACCAAGAAAAAAAAGCATGAAAAACATTAGAAATTATCTTTTGGAAGACTAAATAGGAATCAAGGTAGAGACAAAATAAGAGAGATTTCTCTATACCTGTGTATGCATATACAAGCATATACACACATATGCAAGAGGGCATTTTGATGAACAATTCTCAAAGGTTTCCCCATGGGACTTAATTTAACTTTTGCTGTTTTATTCTCTCAAAGGCCAAGATTACAGGTATTTTTTTTTCTAAAAAATAACCTGTATTTTTTAGAAACATGTATTTTTTTTCTAAAAATGGCTACAAAAAAAGTAGTTTTAAGAGAATTACACTAAAATCTAGGAATAAAGAATGTTAACTCTCTCTTTGCATTTATTGTTGTATTAACTTTTGACTTTTTATAATTTTATGTTAACCAATCAGATAATCTTAGCAAAAGCAACAGGCATAAATCAGTTCTTGTCTAATATCTACAAAATCTATTTGTCAACAGTACCTAAGAATAAAACTAAAAATTCAAAACACAAAATCAAGACAAAATTAATGCATATTAGGACTACGTAAATTCAAGTGGTGACAACTCCTGACCTCAATGAACTATGTTTCATTGCAGCAGATGTATAACATATTTACTAAATGCGACTAAAATTCTGTATTCTCTTTGTACTGGTAGCCACAAAACATTCTAAAATGGAATTAAACATTATGCCATGCTAAAGACCATAAATACAAAAAGATAATGATTTATTTATAAAGAATGTTAAAAATATAGTAAATCAGCAATAATTCTTTACTAACCTCTCTCCTTAATTTGATGTTTTCTTTTTCAGCATCTTCATTTCGAAGAGCAAGCTAGAATGAAGACAGAAAACCTTTATATGTATCACTAAAAGAACAAACTATAAAAACAAAGAACTCCAGAAACAAACCAGAAAATGTATGCAGAGCAGTCCAATTTCACCTGTGGGTTTGGGTGTTTTTTTTTAATTTCAGAGGCTATTTTCAGAACATTGACTTTTCAAAAGATGTTCCAGAACAGTTTTTAGAGGTGTAAAGATGGATTACTTCTTACCTGTTCATTCATTTTCTTCTCTTTTTCCAGGTCTTTTTCTATATCTGTTAACTGTCTCTCTTTTTGTTCTAATTGTTTTTCCAGTTGGCAGATCTCATCACGCAAAAAACGAGGATCACGACCACCAGCAGATTTTTGTGCCATCTTAAAAGCATTAAAATAACATTCTAAGTATAGTACAGTTCTTCAAAACAGAAAGAACTAAAAAAAACACAGCAGATGCTAAGATTAATGTCCCTAATATTCAGGAAAAGCAACAGGAAGGACTCACTAACTTCTTTCAATAATACTCAGAAATTTCTGAAAATAAATGGGATTTATTAAAGTATAAAAAACTCATTGTACGTACAGCACTTTGCAAACCTGAGGCTAGACAGCATTCGTAAGCCAATAAAAAGCATTAGTTAAAATGTAGTTAAATTAGTAAAATTTATTTTTTTAATAAATTTAAAAATGTATTTAAATTTATTTAAAATGTAATAAATTAGTTAAAATTTTACATCTCTTTACTAGATTAAAAGAGCAGTCTAAAAAAAAAAAAAAAACAAAAACCAAAACCAAACTCGTTTAGAAAAACCAGTGAACAGCAATCTATAAAACAGGAGAATTTGAAAACATACCTGTAATTCATTTTGAAGTTTCATCACCTTTGCTTTAAGTTTATTTTCTGTTAAAACGGAACACATATAATGAAATACCTAACCAAGTAAAAAGTACCCAAAGTAACAATGCTTACCCTCAGTCTTTAAATATGACTTCACTCAAACAATTGACTTTAGAGCAGTTGGTATTTTATTCAGTTTCCTAAATTTAAAAAAAAAACAACCAACCAACCAAAGCACAAACAAAACCAACCCACACTAAAAAATGCATGAATACATTTAACAAATCATTTAGGGATAGCTTATAAAGGTTTGCTTACCACATTTGGCTTGCTCTTCCCCAGCTTTTTCAACTTCTTCTAGTGCCAGCTCTACCTCTTGAGTTTTCATCTGGAAAAAAAATACAGTAAACAAAAGAAGAAATATTTACTACTTATGTAATTTAAAAGATTTTTCCATAGACCTCGTATTTGAAACAATGAAAACATTTACAAAAGAATATCAATTTTCGCTCGTTAAACAAATTGAACCACTCTCATTTTTGCCCATGCTGACAATTAAGAAGTTCACTGTTGAAATACCCTCATTAGTAATTTATTCTAAAGGGCTACCTAACCGTTCAAAAGCATATTGCTGAGAATCAAAAAAAAATAAAAGAGCCTCTCTAAAACCAACGTGCTGCCATTATTTTCAGCTGTCAGTACATTCATAAGTAAATACAAGAAAGTATGATAGATTTAGACAATCAGTTTTAGGATGAAGGTGTTTTCTTCATTCATGGTGACATTTCCCTTTACTCTAAAACATCAACCTATCACAAAAACTTCTATTAAAGTTAAAATCATTACCAATAACTTACAACATCTAACAAATTTTTAGCTACTTGCTTGTGTTTTCTATTTATGGAACTAAGTTTCCTTAACTATATGTTAGTCCTATTCACTTTACTTCCCACTGCTAAATGCTGTAATCCCAATGGCTACAAGCAGATACTGTGGTGCAAGCACATGTTTAGCATATAAACAATCTTAGGAGTAACCTAAGGTCATTATTCAATGCAGGGAGGGGAAAAAAAAAAGTAATGAAGATTTCATTTAAAAAAAACCCCAAACCCAAACAATGCCTCCGCAGAATTGTAGAAAGTAAGAATTAACACAAACCTTCAATAATGACTGAGTAATTTTAAAAAGGTGTATCAGTTTTCCCAGGGTTTCAGTTTTTAGATCTTTCCCATCAACCTAAGCAAAGAGACAACTGTTTTTATACAAATATCAATGAAAACAACAAAATAAATCACTTATGCATGTTAAAAACCAGAGACAGTATGGGTAAGAATGTATAACAAACCCTCTATGTTCTGTTTTTCCCTTGAGTACCTTCAACACGGTCTCCAGCAATCTGTCTGCTAGTTCCTCTTGACGAGGCAGAGCATCTGGATCCACTTTCATAAGCTTCTTCCAATCTAAAATCTGTGCCATATTGAATTTATAATTTTTTCCTGGAACAAAAATTAAAATAAAAGTTATCAGACATTCTTATGTCAAATGACTTAATGTAGGCTGGCCACTGAACCACACAAGATGATTATAAAAACTGTACTGATTTTGTAACATTTACTAACATTGTGTTCACATTTTGGTCTACTGCAAACAAAGGTGGCTATAGTAAAACCATTTTTCTTTAACTCAAAAGTTACATCACTCATATTCAATGAATTTGTGACACTAACAATGAAGAAAAGGACACATGCAAAACTTCTATTATAACTTTAATATCCTTCTTTTCCTCCCCACCTTTCAATGTGGTATTTTTAACAAACACAACTGGATACCTATTTGAACCAGCCCTTGTAGGATAAACATCTCCTTGCAGTCACAAAAACATTATTTCTAATATTTAAACAGAACACCTGCTTTCGATTGGTACTATGAGCATCCATTTCCAGATATTAATTTATAAGACATTAAACTCTTGATTAGAATGTTTGAGTTGATAAAGAACAGTAAACAACCTGGAAACTGACAAAAATCTGATCAGGAAGTAGGGCAAAGTTTTGTTCTACTGCTTACCTATAAGCTGCTGTGGGACACAGTGACTTCTTATATATCTGAAAGTCAGTGCAGTTTCTGAAAAAGGCAGAAGGGATTGGAAGCCTTGGATTATTTTATGCTCTGGAGCTGTCTCTAGCCTTTAGTATCAATATTTCAAGAATTATAATCTGCCGAGTTTAAACCAGAACATTTTTAAGGTACTTATTGCCTTAAATTATGAATAGAGCATAAATGATTAAGAAAATTAAGAAAGAAATAAACCTAACTAGAATATTAAATTCATTATCAGCAACAAGCTCTAGTAACTCTAACAATGATCTACACTGTGCATGATACTAAGATCTGTTCCATCAAAACCAGCATAATCACATGGCAGATATCCTCCGCGGTATCTCCTGAATTAGTTTCACAGAATCAGAGAATGATTTTCCCTGAGCCTCAGCACAGTTTCCAGGAGGATCTGCTCCATGATCTTGCTGGGCACCAAAGTGAAACTGACCAGTCTGCTGTTCCCCAAGTCTTCCTTTTTTTCCTCTGCTTTAAAAATGCAGGCTCTGCTTCCTCTTTTCCAGTCAGTGGGAACTTTCCATGACTTCTCAAATGTAACCAATAATGGCTTGGCAACTACATCAGCCAGCTTCTTCAGGATCTGTGGATGCATCCCATCGGTTCCCATGCGTTTGCACACCTTTAGGTTCCTTATAGTTTCAAACCTGATCTCTTACAGCAGACAGATTTACCCGGACTAACCCATCTTAAGCTATTTCTGATTTTCAAATTACATCACCGAGACTAGCTCTCGTCTACTAGCTCTACAGAGCACTAGATCTTAACTACAAAGCCCAAACCAAAATGGAATCTCCTGCTAGCTTCCTATTTTCTTTGTATAATTGTATATAAAATGATAAAATTTGTATATAAAATGATACAATGACAGACTGCAATCCCTCCTGGATGCTACTGAGGCACAATTTTGTCTCCGTTTCATCTGACTCTGCCGAATTATCAAATTGCCTTATTTTACACAACGGGGCACTGTCGAAACATCCATCAGCCTACAGCAGACCTGTACAGCGGCCTATAACCTTTTCCAGGCACCGCATTGAGACGGTGCCCGCCCCCGGTCGCTTCTGCCGGGGACCGGGGACCAGCGGCCTCCGCCTGGCCGTCGGCCTGGATGCCCGCGGCGCTGCCGAGAGATCGCAGGAGTTCCTGTCTCCTTCCTCAGAGCCCCGCCCGCCCCTTGACCTCACCGCTCCCCGAGAACGGTAGTGGCGGCGGAGGCTGCTGCTAGGCGACGCCATCAAGCTCTCCCGCCGGCTTCACTTCCCGGATACTCGTACGCGCAGAGAGGCAGCCAACGATGCCGCGGCGTACGGGCAAGCCGGGCACTCCGAGCCCCGAGGAGCTGCACAGCCACACAGCGGGCAACTAGGAGAAGCAGGGTCTAACCGTCTCACTGAAGGAACGGCTCCGGAACTACAACTCCCGCTTTGCCTCGGAGATACCGTCCCGGAACTGGATCTGTTAGTTTCCCTTGCTGGTAGCGGGGGTGGCAGCTGTGCGCATGTGCAGTGCCTGGAGACAGGCGGCAGTGCGCGCTGTGGGTGGTGGCGCCGGTAGTGGGGAAGTTGCTGCTTCTGCGGCCTCAGGTAGGGCGAGTAGCGGCGGGCTCTTCTTTCGTAAACGGAACTTGGGGTGTGGGAGGCCTGGGTCTGATGTAGCTACTGGCCGCGGTGGCCGATTGTCGTCTTTGTGTCTCTCTCCCTTGGCTGTGCTTTCCGGGCCTCATCCGTGAGCCTCCGCTCCGGGCTGCGGTGCCGCTTTGGTCCCTGGCCGCGCTTCCACGTAGCTTGAGAGGAGCACGGACTCGCGCCCCGGCTTGTCCTGTCCCTTCCGCAGGCTTTCGGCAGTGGTAGCTTGCCTGTTGTTCTGCACCCCCAGCCGTCCTTAGGTTTGCTTCTCGACACGGGTTGCGGGCGGCGGCATGCTCTGTGCAACACGGCAGGCTGACTGGAGGGCTGAAGCACTGCCCCGGTATGCGTGTGCTATATATGTGTGTTGGTGTGTAATAGTCAGAGGCCAAAATATAGCTTGCAGAGCGGTACAGGAAAGATCACATCTATAAACTAAAGGAATCCTTTGAGTGCAAATGGCCAGCGAGGACGTCTGAGCAATGATAGTGGTCTGGTGGCCCCAAAAGTTTGAGATCCTGTGTTACCTAAATGGCTGTGAACGCATCTTTTCAAATAAAAAGGAAAACCAGTAGCCATTTGCGACGTGTATATATCTGTATTCATTCAACAGCTGTAGAGAACTGAAGAGAATTTGTTTTCAGATTTCTTAAGGGAAAAAGAAACGTGATTATAGTGTCATCTTTGGACTTTCGTCTTTTTCTGGACTATTTATTGTCTACTTTTTCTTTGCTGTCTCTTGATTAGTGTTGATATTTAATGAAGGCTGACAAGATGCAAGCTGCTTGGCAGTCGTTGTGGTTATGCAACTTGTTCCAGTCATGTGGAAAGGGGCTACGCAAACAAAATGATTTTTTTCTGTCATTAAACACTTGTATCAAATCATCATAAAGAATATTCATTTTAGCCAAAAATGTAGAAAGAGTAGCAAGTAGGCAAGACAGGTGAGGACATTAGCACAGCCTCAGAAGCTAAATTAAAAAGCCATTTTTAAGTGACTATACTACGGGCTTTGGTAAACCATTGTATATATCTTTGCTGATATTCATCAGTTCATCTTAAATGAACTTGATGTTCACCTGTTTAAAAGTGGAAATAAATCTAGGAGTAGTTTTGTCAGGTCTTTCCTTTCTTCCACCTTTGATAATTTGTCAGTTTTCTGTGTGAACTGTAAATACGTTTTAAGCAGTCCAGGACCTTCAGTGGCTATGAGAGTACATTTCTCCAGAATAAATGAGATGTACAGCTCTTTTTGGAAGCTTATTTTTGTATATCTGTGTCTTCACTGCCTTTGGAGCTCCAAACAGGAGAATGGAAAGCCCACATTTTATGATTAGGTATGTGCATAAAATAACTTATTAGCTTGTTTTCAAAGCTTTTCAAGAAACTGCCTGATCTGTATGCAAATTGCCTGTTTTGTTATTTCTAGCAGCCTAATTAATATAACACAAAATTAAGTTCCTTGAGATTTGCATAATAAGTATTTGCATATTGCACAGGCTAAAGCACTGATTATCAAAGTGACTCTGTGGAGTTACAGGGTATTGCTTCACTGATGCTTCCCAGTCTACAGACTGTTCCTTCACTGATGCATAGTCATCTCCAGAGAATAGTTGCAGTTTGATTACAGTTGCAAATGCTAACATCTTGATATGACGGAAAGGTGACAGGTGTATTTTTAATATCTATAAATATTTAATGAAGTGTGAATGAAAGTAGCCTCTGCGTGTGAGTTTAAAAAGCTCTTTAAACTGTAGTAACTAATGTTCTGTTATGGGCAGTGAATAAAGTGAATTTAAAAAACTTTCTGACGGCTTGAACTGACTTTCAAAATACTGACTGTATCGAAAGCTGCAATATGTCAATTATGGTGTGTATTTTCAGGAGTAGTAAGAGCTTTCATACAAATCTGAAACAAGTTGAAACTTTGCAATTCTGACATCCATTTGAGATTATGTTTGTTCTTGCCAGTTTCTGTGAAAATCCTGTGGAAATCTTTAGGTGACTTGTGCAAGCTTTTTCCCCAACAGAATTGCCACGGTTCCCAAATTCTCTAATACTTCCGCTACCTGGTGTCCTGTTCTCTAAAGAAGAAAAAAGTGATTCATAAAACATATTTTTTCTTTTTTGAAGTAGGATTGATTGGAACAGAAGTTGTTATTAATGAACTTCTGGGTTTAGAAGTGCCATTACCTGGTAGAAGATTCAGATGTGTGTTTAAATTTCTAAAGTTAGGTAGTAAGTTGTGTCTAATCAACACAAGTATATTTGCTCTTGCTAGGGTCTGTTGTTGGTAGAAGGTGACAGCACATTTATTAGATAATAGCTAATTATGGAGTGCTGAACGACTGTTGAGTCTTTAGGCATTGCAGCTGTATTCCTCCCTAAGTACATCCTAAATTTTACTAAATTCATATGATCGGAAAATGGCTCTCACACTCCCCAAATCTCTCAATTGAGGATACTCTTAGATCATTGTGCATTTTTTGTTCATGTTGCAATTTTTTTTGTGCAGACTACTGTATTTTGCAGTGTATGGTGTTAAACTGTTATTGTAGAGAAATATTTTGTTTTCCTAAAAACAATTTTTTGTTATGTAGTACTCGTCTGTAACGAACTCGTCTGGATGAACTGGTAAAGGGCTCCCCATAGCTGGGGAGAATACATGCCTTACAAGCCAAACCTGCTTGAGAGCTCTGGTTCTGTCCTTTCTATTCAATGTCTCTGTACACACATGAGAGCAGTACAGTGCA